GATTAGTCAATTTCTTAAGGCTTAGGGCTTAAATCTCTATTGTAGACTGGCACTTAAGCCTTAGGCTGGGTCTACATAGGATGTAGTAAGTCGTATCGGAAGAAATTGACCAATCACAGTTCATTATTCTTCGACTGTAAGGAGAATAATGAACTGTGATTGGTCAATTTCTTCCGACACGACTTACGACATCCAATGTAGACCCAGCCTTAATTGACTAATCACAGTCGCGTATTCTACCCCGCTGCAGACGATGCTACTTTTCCTGCTGGATTGCTTGCAATCTAATAAATTACTATCGTTGCACCATTCAGCACTCAGGATTCCTAGTAATTTAGTAAATCGCAAGCAATCCAGCAGGAAAAATAGCATCGTCTGCAGCGGGCTTTACTAAATCGCTAGCAATCCAGCAGGAAAAATATAGCATCGTCTGCAGCGAGCTTTATGCAAAAGTGTACTCCCCGCTGAAACGAACAAACCTGACATTAACAGATAAAGGATTTCAAAGGAACAGACCGAATTCCATTGACAGTGAAGCTCATCTGGTTCCTCATTCGTTACTCCTGTGCGCGAATTGCGCGGCCAAATTAAAGCAATATGGCGGACCGACACAACAACTTTTAATGCGCGACATGTAGATTATTTTAACCGTCGAGCTACATTTGCCTCGGCGAGTTGCAGGTCGTATCGCTGGCCGTGTGGAGGAATTCGCCGAGCGGCCGTTTCGTCGCGCGCGAGTGGACAGTTACCGCTTAATTCAGCTTCGCGCGGCAGAGTCGGGGCCTGCGAGTTTTGCCTCGGTCCCGCGAGGGCCCGCCGCGCCGAAATTTATTTCCGTACGGGCCACGAATATGCGCCCGATCGTCCGATCGGGTTAACCGGGGGCCCCAGTGGCGATTCTACCGCCGTCAATCGTCTGCCCGCGCACGGAGAATGTCTACGCAGAACAAAGCGCGAGGTATGCGTCAACGTTTGCGGAAATAACCTTACAGGCTTGAATGCTCGCCCCCGTTTCCTTCCCGCCTTCGTCTTGCCACCGCGATTTCCCGTCTCCTCGCTCGCGTCTCGATGGCAAATATTATGGATGTCCTTTTAACGTGCGGCAGTTCTGTATCTTCTCGTGCTCCGCAGGTCCTGGACGACCGCCGAAGTCGAGGAACTCCGCTTGTACATGGTGTGGCGAGACGAAGCAACCGCTGAAGTACGTCCTACCCACACAGCATGGCAAGAAGGAGTTCTGTTCGGAGACGTGTCTGTCCGAGTCTCGCAAGACCTACGCACGGGGCGCCTGCGCCCAGTGCGACAACGTGATCAGAGGTACACCTTTCAAGTTGGAGCAGAAGGACGGTCCGACCAAGGACTTTTGCTCTTCATTCTGTTTAAACGCGTATCAGAAAAAGGAGACGCAAGCAGACGCGAAGAAGAGTAAGTGGCCGTACGTTCAGGTTCGGTACGCGCTTGCGTAGCGATTCAAGCGAACGTTAAATTTATAGACAACAGACCGTCGTCGCCATCTCCCGTCCCGTCTCCAGCCCCGTCTGGATTGCCAAGCAACAATGTACCGTCGACGCAATCTTACCAGAGTACGAATAATCACACAGCCACATCTCACTCGCCGTCAACGTCCACCGGGACGTTTCAATACGAAGCCTTTCAGACTTTCGATTGGAACGAATATTTAGGGGAAACAAATAGCATCCCAGCTCCACTAGAGTGCTTCAAGCAGGTACTGTGCGACAGAGTTTGGTCTGTTGGTGTAATTTTTATTTAATCTTATTGCTGAATATATTTTGAGTCGTGATACCTGCGCAAGGATACTAAGCTTACACTGCGCGTTACTTTCAGCACGAAGTCCCGCCACAGAACGAATTCAAGATCAACATGAAACTGGAGGCGTTAGATCCACGAAACTTGACGTCGACCTGCATCGCCACGGTAGTAGGTGTCCTTGGCGCGCGGTTGAGATTGAGATTGGACGGCTCTGACAACAAGAATGATTTCTGGCGACTGGTCGACAGCAACGAGATACATCCGATAGGCCACTGCGAAAAATCTGGCGGGATGCTTCAGCCGCCGTTAGGCTTCCGGATGAATGCTTCCAGTTGGCCGATGTTCCTTCTCAAGACACTAAACGGTGCCGAAATGGCGCCCTCAAAAGTATTCAAACGTGAACCAAAGACACCGCGCGCTAATTTGTTTGAAGTCGGACACAAGCTGGAGGCGATCGACAAGAAGAATCCGCAACTTATATGCACTGCGACCGTCGGCGCTGTTAAGGACGACATGATACATATTACTTTTGACGGCTGGCGCGGTGCTTTTGATTATTGGTGTCGTTATGACTCCCGGGATATTTTCCCCGTGGGCTGGTGCTTAAAAACTGGACACCCGTTGCAGCCACCGAGGCAAAAAGGTAGATAAATGAATGTTTTGTAGTATAACTTTTGCAGATCAGTTTAATACACGTCGGTATATATGTATCTCTCTTTTTAATACTAGAAGTACTGAGCTTATTTCTTGTCTGAAAGCTGGGATTCTGAAATTTGATTAATCAGCTGATTGATGAGAAGTAATCAAATTTCAGTTTTAAAAAACAATTAGACAATTACACGCACTCGTACTCCTTCACTCGCACAGACGAACACAAATAACATACACATAAACACAAGGAGGGAGGGAGGGTTTGCACACGTGGAAACATGTGCGTGCTTGCGCGCGTGTTTCTGCCTGTGCCTGTCTTCTAGCGTTATTATAATGAAATATTAAAATGTTTATAATTCACAGTATTTTAATGACGTTTTCGATTTTAATCTATACAGCACAGAATAACAAGTTTAGGTCCAGATCCACCAATAATGTTTTGTTAGTAATGGCGGTCTCTGGTAGCAACACTAGTAGAGAACCCGCAGTTGCGTTAGTGAGCCCTGCTGCGATTCCACCAGCACAGCCAGCTACAGAACCTGACACTAGCACAGCCAATACCAAACCGCTTGAAAACGGTAAATTATTACAATTCTACGTCAAGCGCATATAAGAAATAGTAAGAATTCATACAAGAAACTTTAAGTGACTTGATTGTATGTTGCAGTTACACTGTATGTCAACCATAAATGTTGCTGTGGTCCGTATTTTGACATACGAAAAGTGAAAGCCATGCCTGCGCAATTTGGCACTGGCCCTATGACAAGTGTGGCAAGGGACATTTTCCAAGCATTTTTAATGGCAGCCACGAATCCCAGGCAAATATTAACTTTGCTGAGAAACGGCGAAGGCGAGACCATAAATCTGAGTATGGGGACTCTGAAGAAACCTGCCGCTGTTAGATTACCCGTTTTCCTAGAAGAGGAAGACTTCTACACGTACATACGGCAGCAACTCGAGGACCTCCATGCATGTGAATACATGTTGGCCAGAAGAAAAGAACCTTGCAACAAGTGTCCCAATACACCGCAGCTACAGGAACCGCAATTCACTAATGACGAGGAAACGAATAATACTATAGGAGAAAAACGAAGATGGCCATCGGAAAGTCAGCAAAACTTACCGTCGTCTCAGAAACAGCACGTACAACAAACTACTGTACAAAGTATGAATAATTCTTCAGGATCATCACCTACTGCAAACAAGCAAGCCCGCAAATCTGTCCCTGGCAAGTATATATATATATATGTATATACTTGCTTTATATTATAAGCCTAAGATTTATATTTATATATATATATATATACAATATATCTTTATTATAGGTAATGATAAGCCGCGAGTGTTGCAAGAATATTCATAATTATTATTTAAAGAACATAAACGTAGATAGTTTTTTTCTATTGCTTTGTTGCTCAGAATAATATAATAGTAAAAGAGTTTTGCGGTCTCCCGAGAGTTTGAGTATAGAATTAACTGATGTTAAATGGCATTTTCGTGAAATAACACGCTGATTAAGAAATATATTTACGTACAGAATTAGAAGCAGCGACGTCTACTACTCAATCTGAAACTTCTGGAAATCGCACGCCTTCTGCCGAGCCGGCGGAATGGACTATTGAAGATGTAATACATTATATCGCCATTACGGACCCAGCGTTGGGACAACATGCAGATTTGTTTAGGAAACATGTGAGTTAAACATAAAAAGATATTCAATGTGTCTTGTCCTATTATAAACTTGGCAATAACAATTTTTAGGAAATTGATGGCAAAGCCTTACTTCTTCTCAATAGTGACATGATGATGAAGTATATGGGACTAAAACTCGGGCCAGCACTTAAGATTTGTAATTTGGTAAACCGTATTAAAGGTAGAAGGCATATGCTTATGTGATTTTCCCAGATATGATAAATACTTGTATAGAGATCTAAAATATGCACTTTATGCATTTCGATCGAATCAGTTTTACGTTTCAATAATAAAAATAAATTAATATATAGGTTGTTGACAATGAGAGATAATGTGAATACACATAAACAATTTATTAGTTTCTGAGTTTATATATATATCCATAATTTTAAAGTTTAGATTAGCAAAACTTAAAAGCTTAATCAATTTTTTAACATGTCAAAACATTGTTTTATTATTTTGGAAGAAGTATAAATTCTTAGTTGTAAAGCAAGTATTTTTGTTAATAAACTTACCATTTCCCTACAAGTATTAGATTAGCCTAATTCGATTCCATGTATTAGATAAGTAGTGATAAATATAATAAATATTATATAGTTCTTATGTACACATAAATATGCTCACAAAAGATAATGACATTTCACATGTAAATATAGTCATGTCGTATGTTATTTTGCAGTACCATGAAATACATATATTGTAAACGAGATACTTGTCTTGTGATACTTTCAGTAATGTTTAGAATGTCACAGATTGAACCATTTTTTTTAGTATTTTACTCTATTTTTGTTAATATACATGACATTACTGCAAATACATTTAGTTTCCTGTCGTGCATTATTTGAGATATCCGGATGAAACGATTTAATAATTTCAGAAGCTTAAAAAGTAATTAGATTAATCTCTTGTAAAGTATAAATAGATTTTAAGGTAATAAGATTTTATGTCATTAAAGACATGAAATCTTATAAAATATAAGTAGATTTTTGTTATGATTTAAATATATTTAAATATATAGAAAGATTAAATATATTTAAATATACATATACCTTTCACACATACAAGAAAATTAATATATACAAGGTGTTAAAAAACAATTCAATATTTATATGGTAGATAGGACACACCACACTGAGTAAAAAAACTTAAATAAACATAGGTCGAAAACTCGTTTCTGAGATATAAACATTTTCGTATGTTAGCATCATATGATTGACTTGCTGGCTTCTGTGTCGCATGTGACGTGAGAAGATAATCTGTTTAAATTATTATCTTGATATTTACAGAAGATCTTCCATATATCCTCCATCCATTTCCATACACGCTTTGTATATTCTTAGAGTCGTGAACTCTCTTGAAAATTCCAGGTCTCTGTCGGATTATTTGACAGGCACGTAATTTTTCTAAATCATTTATCGGTGAAGAATACACTATGCTTATCAAATATTCCGATAAAAAGAAGTTCAATGGATTAAAATCAGGGGATCGAGGGAGAACATCGCATGCGACATGAAGAAACCTGTAATATTTATATCTCTGAAACGATTGATTTTTCGACCTATGTTTACTTCGGTTCATTTAGATTTTTTTACTCAGTATGGTATCTTATCTACCATATAAATATTGAATGTTTTTTAACACCCTATATATACATATATACATAATTACTTTTTTATTGTGTGATATAGTTTCCTGTTTTTATTATACAAGATAAGCTAAATTTCGGAATATCTTTTTAAATTATATAAGATTAGTTAATACACCATTAGTTATGTGTGACTTATTGCATTACTACTGTGATATTCTTGATAACTTGTATAGCAATCTCATGTTTCGCAATTTGCAAATATATAACAGTTTATATACAATATGTGAAGTTACTATCTATTTTATGTTATAATTCCACGATTTTTTTTTCATTTCGCTTTTCATAGAAAGATCTAAAAGTATCATATTATCTCTCACTTACGTAAAATTACTCTTGTGAATACGTAAAGACTAAACTTAAGACTTATGTGTTAATTTGTAACATTACAACGTACACACAAATTTATTTAAAATATGTAATATTTATTTTTCCTTTTTTCTATATCCTGTATTTTTTATTTTTAGCACAAGTTATGTATATATATATTTGTCTTAAATTACGAAATGAAACTAATATGTTTACGTGTTGAAACTATAATTTATTTTGAATTGTATAGATATTACGAAAAACATCGTTTTTCAACTGCTAACAATATCTCTTAATTTACTATTGAAATATTTTAATATAAAAATAATTCAAAAATTGTTAACATATAGAAATTTAACTATTATGCTAAAAAAATTAGATACATTCCGAGTATCAAAATATAAAACATAAACTTTATTATAAAAGCTCGCTCTATTAAACGAGACAAAAACATAATGTTCAAGATGAGAAAGATGTGAACAAATATGCATAAACTTTTATATCTGGATGTACGACCTCAGTCGTCGTCAGAATCATCTGAGCTGCGTCCCTTGATGGTTTTGGGTTTTGAAGGCTTAAGTATAAGTGACTTTTTGCCGGTTTCCGAAGGCTGCAGATCGTCATCATAATTGATCACGCCAGATTGTGCAAGACGGCACTGCAACGTTTCTGTAGAAAAATCATCGCAGTTTCCTAATTCAGTGAAGCCCACGATATAATCCTTGGTTTTGCCGTTCACAATTAACGCAATTGTAGGTATAATCTTGATCCGTAATCGTTCTGCGATACATAAATATACATTATCGTCACATTTAAGTACACCATTGCCGAAATGTATCTCTAAAAAGATGTCTATCGCGACAGTACCGGTGAGAAAGGGACACCTCTCAACATTCAGTTTACAGAATCTCGCTTCGATATGTTTCCTCGCAAGAATCTTGAAATGATGATCCACTATTTTACATCGCGGCGAGTCATCTTTGTAAAATAAACAAGCTATGTTTTCTGACTTTTTTGATACTTCGAAGAACTCTTTCTCGTCGTACAACTCAGCATATTCTCCATGGCCCTACAACAGTAAGCAATTACATATACTTTGTTACGCAACATTTTGTAGAACGCTCAGGTGATATCTTAAGGCACAAACTTATATTTCTAACATTTGGAATTCTAACTTAAATATTCCAAGGCCCGGTTTCACCAACGTTGCTTAACTTTAAGCTTGGCTTGATTCATTCTTTGTCTCTGTTGAACTGTTACTTTAGAAAGAGGCAAACCTGAATTAAACCAAGATTTTAACTGAGCAACGCTGGTGATACCAGGCCCTAGGCAAAGAAACACAGCGGTGTATTACCGAAGCCAGCCAATCCTGCTTTCGTTTCTGCATCCGCTTCAGTTCGTTCAATCTGTGCGCGCGTATCTTTTCGTAATCGTTGATATCCAACTTGTCTAACTTCTCCAATTCCGCGTCCAACTGCTGCTCAACGTGGCTGGCAACCTCTATGACTTTCTGCTGAAGTACAGTCTCCATACTGCCGTCAATCGGGAAACACTCGTGGATACTTTTGCGGGTCCGTCAGTATCCTTACCGGTCTGGCGCGAATAAGAAGATACAAAAGGTTACAATGCAAAACAGGACTGGCTTTTCGTAGAAAGGTGTAGATACTGAATCAAAATGGGTACGATTGAGTGATATCAATTTGTTAAAATTACAATTTGCTCGTTTAACGCTCGGCGAAAGCTTCGCTTCTCAACTTGGTGATAACTCGATCTTCAACGCGCTTTTGTACACTCACAAGGCACTTCTTAACCATATATAGAAATATGTCACTTACTGATTGCGATTATTGCGAAAGCGTGGGTCATGAAAAGCACGACGCTTCGCAACGGATTAGGCTGCGTTTCCACTGAACACGTCACGCGCTAGAATCCAATGAGCGCACAGCTTCTCCCTCTCTCTCTCTCTTGCTCGCGCGCAGTATCATTACATACAAATGATTTTTTTTTAAATAAATTGTGACACGTCGACCGGTATTCATAGTCAGATCTTATATTCAAGACCGTCTTAAGATCATCTCTAGATACTCCGCAACCAATCAAATGTTCCATACAGCATCTTTAGATAAATTCAAGACGGTCTTGAATATAAGATCCGACTATGAATACCGGCCGTCAAGTTAAAGATATCATGATGATTGCTTAGCAGTTTAAACATGTATGCAATGCCTATCACGTACACATATGTTCTTTATATTTTCCAATATCTAACATACGTTCTTTATATTTTCTAATATCAAATTATTTAATTAGTCACAATTGTTAATATGTGGTAACAAAAATGGATTTGTACGGAAGAGACAAGGGAAATATCAGTTTACCACAACGCCTTCAGTCAGTCACTTTTGGCAAAACCAAATTAAGGAATGTCATCGTTAACACACAAAAATCTTTTTACAACTTAAAAATATCAGAAATTAATAAGAGAATTCAAAGGTATTTAATTTTACAAAATCATTATTATATATATATGGGTAATTTCTTCTCGTTTCCTCAAACTCTTGCTTTTTTATTTTTTTAAATGCGAAAATTTTTCTTTTTATTATCTTAAGATTCTTATTCTTTCTGAATACACGAACAGATGTTAACAAAAGGTAGAAAACGTATGTGGACATATATAATTATATAGATTTATGTCTTTGACAAATTTTTACCAAATTTATATTCAAAATTCTAGAATGCAAGAAAAATGCGTTTATTCGATATCTAATTGAAAATTTTTTTAACAGAGTAAGAGAACGGAATAAAGAATTGGAAAGTAACTTGGAAGATATAAATCGTTTTATCAAAACTTTGCAAGAAGAGAAAATGCAAGAAATATCCAATTTAAAATCTCAAATAGTTTCTTATATTGCCAGGATAAAAGAAAATAAACATCAATTAATTACTCTTGAAAAAGCAAGGATTGATGATAAATTCACTCATACTGCAACAGCTGTAAACATAGATGAAAAGTATAAGAACACGCGACTTGTGCTCACTTCGCAAATTAAAGTTTTGAGTAACTATTTCTTATAATTATCAATTGATATTTTTACATAAATGATTGATTTATATTGAATATCTTCCTCCCTCACCACTTTTTACACCTTTCTTTCTGACTGTCCTTTCCGTCTTTTAATATTTTTTCGAATTTTCTAATTTTCAAATCTTAAGGTGCTAAAACTAATGTTTTGGAAGATTACAAGTCAACACAACATATTCTAGAAAAGAAACTCGATATGAGAAATCAGTTCTTAATCAATGAAAAAGAACAGGTAAAAGAAAACCTATGTAAGATTGAAAATAAATTCAAGAATGACAAAGAAAGGTACAGCACGTAAATTTTACTTCATTGAGAAAATATAGAAAAATTATATAAATATGTTATTGTACATACATGTCGTTTGTTTTCAATGTGTTCTGTCTAGATTCAAAAAGAAATTGTATAATCATCTTTTGGCTCTGGCTAATATATTTCAACTTGAAGTGTCAAAACACGTGCCACGTTCCATATCCAATTTACTGTCGGAAAATATAGCTCTAAAGAATCAATTGTCAATGATCATGGACAACGTAGCTTCTAAAACACAAGACCACATCCTGCATCCGTAAAGTTTTTTTTTAATAATATATATATTGTATACTTAAATACGTATAAGTTGTTTTACTGTAACATATATTTTTGTAAACTAATAATATTGCAGAAATGCAGTGAAAGGATATAAAAGAAAAATCAATGACATGCATTTGTGCACAACACGATCGATGATAATTTCTAAACTAGAGAAGTCTATAAACACAATGTTGCGGAACATTCACAAAAACGTGAATGTTAATTTACCTAAACTGATGAAATTTAATTATTTCACGGAAGAGCAGTATATAATAAACAAGGATCATGCTAAAATTCTAGCGCGCAAATGCGAGATGCACGCAAAACATGCAGAACTTCTACTTTATTGCGAAAAAGAAAAACTCGCTATAGCAGAGTATCAGAAAATCTGGATATCTAAACGGTTGCAAGAACATTTGCAGACATTGTACGATATTACATATATACTAAAAAGTCTTAAGATAAAAACAAGCTGTAATGTAAAACCGTAAATAGTAAAAATTAAATTTAGTAAGATTGAAATAATTTGATTTCCGAAGCAATTCCATTTTTATGAAAATTTCAGTTATAAAAAATAAAATTTTGACATGTGTTACAAAAACTATTTGATATATGTATATTTATAAATATATACATATATTCATGCTTTTATACATTTCTAGATTTTTACAATTTTCTACTTTTATCTGGTTTATTCTAATTTAATTTTTTATTAAATCAATAACCATACAGAAAAATTTAAATTACAATTGGAAAAACTTGATTTCCAACTATAACATAAATCACACTTACATATAAAGAAAAACAGACAATTTCTACAGACAAAGAAAATCTAAAGATGTCAAATTGACTAAATCAGGTATTAAATCCTCTTTATTTTAAGATTGTAGCTTTCTCGATGTCATCAAAGTTTATTTTGTGATCCGGTTTCACAAACTTCTTCACCTTTGCTTTGTCTCGTTTCCTAAATCAAACAAAATATTATAAATGTATAAAAAAATTTCTTAAGATAAAGCAACTTCTTAAGACTAAACAACAAGTCACTGATAATATCAAGATAATAATTTAGTAATCATTTTTATATTCCATTTCTCTTTTTTGTTTAATGTCTCTGTTCCAGAATACTTTCCTTAATCAAATCGTGCTAAATTGTCTTACTCTAGATTCTGGCAAATACACTTCATGAATCTATTTTCTTTGTACTTACAATTTTATGACGGCCGGTGCAATAATGTTTCTTTGTTGAAGCGACTTATATCGGTCTTTCAGTAAATTTTTACATGGCTTACAATTCTTCAAATTGCCACTCAATTCTTCCGCAAGCTGGAAATCAGTTTCAATGGGTTCAAACCTTGTCTTGCTCAGATTCTTTGGCATAAGAGATTCCCTCTCGCGCTTCTTCATTCGTTTCTGTCGCAGCACTTCTTGCTTTCTTTCCTTGACCTCTATCTGCTTTTGTAACATTTTCAATTTATAGGTGTCAGAAAGTTTCTTTTTCTCGAGTTTATCCAGCGCACGTTCCTTCGCTGCTTGTTTTTGTTCCCGTTGTTTTCTTCTTTGTACAAGCGTCTTTTTGGCGTTCTTTACAGGTTTATTATTTGTTGTTGCAAGAGATGAATCTTTGTCTTCATCATGGTCCTCCTCAATAGACTTGAGATTTGATGTTTGATTGTTTGGCAAACCCTCTGACATTTCTTTCATCATACACTCATCTCTTTTCTTTACTGAAATCTAAACAAGTAAACAATTTAATATCACAAATTCATATTTAAAAGATATAAATCCACATTCAAGAGGTGTGATACAAGTTAAGAGTCAAAGAAATGTCTAAATCGGGAATTAGTATAGCATTAGTAATGTAAAAATATTATCAAAAGTAAGTATATCAAGGAAGTATATCATAAAATTACCCTTTTAAACATCAGAGTTGTGACTCTGTCCAAATGTTCTTCTTGCTTTATAAGTTTTAATTCTTCCAGGGCAGCTTCTTGCAACAGTTGCTGGTGATCCTTGTACGATGGATTATAAGATGTACCTGGGTGTGGTATCTCCACTGCAGGCAAAACAGACGGCTTTTTATGCAACGACGAAGGTATCTTCCTTTTCCTCATTCCTAAATGGCTAACTGTATGTCTAACGCTGTCCGAGGACATCCATTCGGTGACTGTTTTTGACAACAAGGCATTTGTGCTATTCCATACATCGCCTTTAATCTCTCCTCTTTTAGGACGATTCGCTGAAGCAGCTTTCGCAAGCAACCTGTTCTTCAATGCTACCCTCTCCTTCAACTTCAGAACACCCTTCATTCTCCTGTCCGCTTCGCGTTGCAATAATATAGAATTCATGCGTTCCTCTTTGGTCCTTACTCGATTCCTTTTAGAAATTGGATCGGGAACATTTGTGTGCGGTTTCAAAGAGGCGAAACATTTTGGTTCTTTATTCTTCAACGCCAATCTGGCAGCGCGTTTGGAGATGACACTTCCAGCAGCATCAGTTTTATCGATGATAAATAACTGAGCATCTGCGCGCTCGGAGAAAGGAGCGCCCAGTCGTTCCTCCAATCTGCCGTTCTCAAGGAATGCATCTACGTCCTTGATATCGATGTGCTTTCTCCACGACTTTTTCGTCTTCTTCGAGACTTTGTGTTTTTTAGGTTTGGCGTCAGACATCTCTGAAAAAGAATCCTTTGGATCTCAGTATGCAAATATATAATTCCAATCTTGTCAACATGCATTCGTCAATCTAAAGTGTATCGGTTAGATTTTTGTAACTATTTTATATACGTGTATACGCCAAATTTTAACTTTTGTTCATTGTCCTACTATATTTTTCACGTACCTTTAAAATGTGTAATTATGTAGCCTAATCTACAATGTGCTCTTTGCGTATAGAAACATTGTTTTGCAGTCGAGAAATACGTTTAAAAAACTTGTGCAAGTTGACAAATTGTACATTCCACACTGTATAATCGTACGTTGTCGGCACATTTTTTAAGCGTTTTGACTTGTTTACATCAAATAGAATGTTTCTAGACGCAGAAAGCGCATTGTGGATCATAGGCTCGTGTACTTTTACAGTAAATATATTTCCGTCGCGACAAAACTTGTAAAAAAAAAGCTGTGCTTACCGATATGAATAATATATTTATTGCTATATAAATTATCCAATTTTTGTGAAAACCACGGCAATGCTTTCCGCTACACCACGTGCCCAGGAGACGTTTCACCGCCTCTCTAACCTCACTTATCGCAGCAAGCACAAACTACCAAGCCAACCAAGATCGGAGCAAAGTTTACTAGCTTCAAGTTTAGTGAACTTTGCTCCGATTGGTCAAATTTTCCGCCCACTCTCAATTCTAGCCTGTGCAGCCCCGCCCGACACGCTCGTCTATGTCTGATCTGCGCTTCGTGCAATCTCGTGTCCCTGAATTCGTGGTATTTCGATATACTCCGATTGCATCGATGTATACTGATTGACGAGGAATTTTTGTAGTCATGAGTCACTGTTTCTCATTTTGCGCACAACCAGCCGTACGGTATGAAAATTGCACTGCTCAAACTATACCCTGACGTCTTGACAAACATTCATATATGCTATTTATACAAAAGAACATTTCGGTACCATTGTAGAGGTTAGACTCCGTTGACGATTTGCGAAACGTTTTGTAGAAGAGATTTTGCTAGTTTAACTAGTCGAACGTCCCCTCCGGGAGGTTCGGTTGCCGAGAGCGCGATATTTGTATCGGAAAGAATTGAATGTGATTTGTGACGTAACACTGCAAGATTGAATAGATTTGCGATGTAAATTTAGCACGTGCTCACTCTCGTGCAACATTTTCTGAGAGGAAGCTCGTATATTATTGTCGATTGGTTTCTATCGCTTTGCCATGCGATGAATAAAAAATTTTCCATACAAATTAGTATTTAAAATTAAATTCTTTTGTGGCGATATTGCAGTAAAACTGTCGGTTCAGAAATATAAGATAGTTTGGACATAGATAAACTTTTCAAATCTACGCATTTCCACGTGCATACTCACATTTCTAAGGACAAGCGGCAATAATGTAAATAGGCTAAGTACAATTCGTCACGATAGAATCTTCCGCTAATGGGAAAATTATAAATTGTTTTAGCAATTTTCGGGGTGCCGAAAGACATTCAAATAATTGCATCTTAGAGTTGCTCTAAGGATACATCAATGACTAAAGACAAAAAGGTTGCGCTATTGCATTTATAAATTTTATACGTTGCTTGTTTAATTTATTTATATATGTACATTTATATGTTTTTTCGATGTTTCGAAATTATCGAATCACTATCTTCGTATATGTATATTTTCCTTATCTGTGCACAATGTTTCCTCAAGAAGAATACTGTAACGTCGACTGCTTTTTAGTAAATTACGCCGGCATATTAATCGGGTTTAATTACATTTACTGTTATAATTACTGACATAAAACGCGTAAACGCTATTCAATTTTTTACATAATGTTTTTTATAGCAATGTTGTACGTCGTATTATTATTATTAGTATTATTTGTTACACTGATTTTATTTTACTTTTTCGATGCTCTACTAGAGAAACTATGTAGAATTATGCTAAATATTGCTTATACAAAATATCTCTCTGAATATATAATTAATTCTTTATTAACAATAAATTTTAAATGATTGAAAATATCTCTTAATATTGTATGTATAAGATTACATGTAAACTTGCTAATTTTTTAATTAATTACAAAGAATTGTGATAATAGATTATTAAAGAATCATTTGCAATCGTTTAATAATTAGCATATATAAATATTGAGAGAGAGATAGTATGTATGTATAATGTATGTACGTGTACACATGTACACAGAGACATTCTGTAATTTGATATGAAGCAAATGAGATTATCCTTATACTTCTTTTAATTTTATTAATACATTTAGTGTAATATAAAGTGGAACATTAGCAAATATTTAACTCCTGCTTTTTATGATTTCAGTTGATCCTGCATGCTGTGCACTGTGTACCAACGTACTGTGTATCCGCAACACCTGCACTGTACTTTTTTATTATTTTTGCCAAATATATCACATTCGTAATAAAAATATAAACATGGCTGCCTATATCAATCGTACCATGGTACAATCGACCATGATTGGCGGGGACAGCCAGCTTCGATCAGATGCTAGAAATGATAATTCTCCTCTACAGATCTTTGTTAAGGCAAAGAAAAGGATAAATGATGTATTTGTGGAAATAGAAAAATATGTGGAGGAAACTGTGGAGTTTATGACATGTAAGTAAACAAATAAAGCAAACATGTATATATGTATTAGTTTCTTTAATTGTATTGATAATTAATTCATCTAACTTTATAACAGCATTACAAAGTGATCGCGATATTGTAACCGTGGAAGAAGCAGTAAAGGTCAAAGCTTATATAGACAAAATACGAGCGATAAAAGATGTTCTTAAAAGAGATCATATGAAAGTTGCCTTTTTTGGCAGGTGAGCAATCACATTAAACAATATTTGTACTAACAAGTTGTCCTTGTAATTATTAATTTTATTAATACAAAATTATTTCATTATTTTTCTTATAAAATATTATTCAACTCCAAAAAAAATATTGAACAGTGGAAATAAATTTTTTTTCTATAAGTTAGAATGTCATTTGGTATCCACATTAAATCGACATTAAATAAATTATTATTATTATAAATAGTTTACTCTATTTTCTAATTTATATTTATTTTTTATTATATCCCATATCTCACTGTATGGGATTTCTTTGTTTTTTAATATTGAAATGTGAAATATAAAATTTTTTAATTATCCGTAACATTTATAGTTTTTATTTGTTACAAGAAAATTGCAATTTTAACTTGTTTATTTTTAAGAAATAGTGTTAATTAGTGGAAAATTATGGTATATACATACATACATACATACATAGTGGAAAATTATGGAACACTTGCATACACTTCACATAACATATAAATGGTGGATATAATGTATATTTACTTACATATTTATATTTATTTACAGAACAAGTAATGGAAAAAGTACCGTAATTAATGCCATGCTACACGATAAAATTTTACCGAGCGGTATAGGCCACACTACAAACTGTTTCTTACAAGTTGAAGGTTCAGATAATGGAGAATCATATCTTGTTACGGAAGAATCCACTGAAAAGCAACCAGTTCAATCTGTTGGTCAATTGGGTCACGCTCTTTGCAAAGAGAAGTTGTGTGAAAGCAATTTAGTAAGAATATTTTGGCCGAAAGAAAAATGCTTATTACTAAGAGACGATGTAGTGTTTGTCGATAGTCCAGGAGTAGATGTAACCCCAAATCTTGATGAATGGATTGATAAACATTGTTTGGATGCAGACGTATTTGTTTTAGTAGCAAATGCTGAATCTACCATAATGGTTACTGTAAGTATAAGACAAGCGTTTCTAATATAGCTCATTACATAATCTATTGAATGCATAATCTGCATATTTTTTAATAATAATTTTTTGAAAAAATTCTATTTTATTTGATAATATTTGGTGCACTATTTTTGTAGAATTTTACCGTTCATATTCTTATTTAAAAAAAAAACAAAATTCTTCAAATCAGACATTCCAAGAGACATGTTCTCAAACTCTTGTTTGTCCAATATTTTCTTCTGATATTCAATGCACATATTTTAAATTAATACTAACAGTTGTTTAGTTAAATAATTCTATTTTTTCTCTAGGAAAAAAATTTCTTTCATAAAGTTTCCACAAAATTGTCAAAACCAAATATATTCATTTTAAATAATCGATGGGATGCCTCTGCTTCTGAACCAGAGTATTTTGATCAGGTATGTATTTATATACAAACACTAATTATAAAAATTGAACATCTTGTAAATTACAACAATTATAACACATGTAAAACAATTACGACATACTTTATACAGGATTTATTGATTTTTATAATAAAATTGTAAAATAAATAATATTAATAACGAATTTTTTAAATGTTAAATAATTAAATTGATCTTACTATGATATGGAATTTTCTACTTTAATTGATTTTTAATAAAATTTGTCATTAATTAATTGAATTTAATAAACGTTTAAAATTTATGTTTTAAATCGCTTAAATTAAATTACTTGAGCATATACATATATTAAAAGTTTTTACCTTTATTTAATCTTATGTAAGAATATTTAAACACAGATTATTTTATTTTATTAAATCTATTATTTAACAATTGTTTTTAAACATTAAATTTTTGTAAGTTTTCTATTGTAATAATCTTTTACTCAAATTAAACTTCAACTAAAAATAAAGTAAACAAAGCATGCTGATAAAATAAAATAATCATATTGTAGAATGCTAAAACAGATATTGAAATAAATATACATATATAAAAAATGAAATTTTCAATAATTAAAATAATAAATATAATAATATAAGTAACACTTTAAATGAGCTAATAAAAGTTTGTACTTAAATAAAATATTAATATGATATTAAATATAATATAATATTAATTTTTTTATTAAAATGTAATATTAAATATTTTGTGTTTAGATATATATTTTTCCATTTTATAAGTAAAAATTAAGTTTCTATAATAAAAAAATTAAGTTTCTATAACATGATAATTTAAATGAATTTAGTAATATTCTTTATTCTTTAGCTGGCCAAAGAACAAAAGGAGGTAAGTTTATTTATATCATGGGAGTTGCTATTCATACACAAGTGATATTTATGTATTAAACCTGCTTTAAACAATTTATAATTTATGTCAGTTTTCAGGATAAAATACTATTTATAATATTTTGATGCATATGTATGTATTTTAATATAAAAGTGATTCTGCTAAGTTTTATGATTAGTGGCTTATATTTTTATTCTTTCGTTATGAAGGTAGTTACTTCCAAGATGGACTTATCATAACGGTAATTTTTGTCTGAAGTAGTTTCAATCAAGAATCACTCTTATATGTGTATATACATTTATACATGTATATGATAAAATATATTTTATATAAACATAAATTTTTTTTATTAATGTGTAAAGCAAGAGCGAATTGAAAAAGAACTCTAAGTGCCTCTTTCACCAAGCTCGGTTAGATTAACTGATGGTTAAAATTTGCAGGGCAGTCCTCTTCACCTCTAATTTTGTTGGCACCCTGTAAATTTTAATCGTCGGTTAATCTAACCGAGATTGGTGAAAGAGGCCCTCGAGCTTCAGAAATTTAAGACATGTTATAATAAGAAAAAAGAAAATAGATGCTTTGTTATATGCATACAATATTTCAGATCTTTACTTTGCAATATCTATTACACCATAAGCAAATGCTATGCACCTAGAGCATGAATTTATAATATAAGCAAGAAACTAATTCCTAACAGCAGTATTGTTCGAATAATTTGTACTTCGATAAGATATATGTATTAAAGATATCGTAATATACTGGGAACGTCTCTATAATATCTTATACTTAACGATAACCTCCACGTATATTTTCAAAATCTACATGTGCTGTTAGGAATATATTAGCATTTTATATCAAAATAAAAATTGTGAAAATTTTAATATGTTATTTATTAAAAAAGAAACATTGTTATTCGATTTCTGTATTGCTATTTATGTTGATAATATATCAGCAAAATTCAATATGCTTAACATCACGATTGAATTGTGAGTTGCAATACAAATTTTATTTATTTATATATTTTTTATGTGTAGGTAAGAGCACAACATCAAGAACGTGCTGTCGACTTTTTATCGAAGGAGTTAAAGGTCTACAGTCCAAAAGATGCTGAGGAACGTGTCTTTTTTATTTCTGCAAAAGAAACTCTTCAGGCTCGCATGCAAGAACAACGTGGACAACCTGCTCATAGTAATGTGTTCCGAGTTTACTATACTGTCTATGCTTTTTTAAATCGTTTCTTAATATAAATTAACTTAATATTCAATATATATGCAGATGGTGCGCTAGCAGACGGTTTTCAAAACCGATATTTCGAATTTCAAGATTTTGAAAGAAAATTTGAAGAATGCATCTCAAAGTCTGCAGTAAAAACTAAATTTGAACAACACTCTCAGCGTGGCAAACATATCGCAACGTAAGAAAATGAACAAAAAATGGACTACATAATTTTGTTAAATCTTTTTTAATTGAGATGAGGAGACAGGAAGAAGTATTCCGTTATTTATATTTGCAGAAATATAAACTAATCTATCTTCATCATTTATTACAGGGAAATACGTCAAGCATTGGATGAAATATTAGAACGAACTCAAAAAATGCGAAGTGAACAATTAAATGTCAAGAAAGAGGTTCATGACAAATTGAATTTCACAGAGCAACAGTTAATGCTGTTAACTCAAGAAATGAAGGATAAAATTCATCATATGGTGGAAGATGTAGAGCAAAGGGTTTCTAAGGCTTTAAATGAAGAAATTCGGCGATTAGCCGTTTTAATAGATGAATTTAGTGTACCGTTTCATCCTGAACCACTCGTTTTGAATGTTTATAAACGGGAACTTCATACTCATGTTGAACATGGCTTAGGTAATTGTCAATTACATATTTTGTGACTGAATATGAAGATGTTAGCTGACGAACTCTAAAAACTGTTTTATATTCTACTCCAGGATCAAATTTACGAGCCAGACTCAGCACTGCTTTAGCATTGAACATGGAAAGCTCGCAGCGGGAAATGACCGAAAGGATGTCAGGCCTGTTACCCGAAAACAAAAGACAAATGTCGCTTAATATTTTACCACGACGCGAACCGTTTGAAATACTTTACCGACTTAATTGTGACAATTTATGCGCAGACTTCCATGAAGATCTAGAATTTCGTTTTTCTTGGGGTTTTACAGCAATAATTAACAGATTCGCAGGAAGGCAGAGTCAGAGATTAGCTATTGCTAATTATCCACAAGAGGTAAGATATATTGCAAATCTCATCAATTTTGAATAAATTTTTCTTTTAGGAAGATATAGAAATATACACACATATACCATAACTTTTATAAGTTATAAATGATTAAAAATAACTAAATTTAAAAAAATAATCCAATTGCCAAAATCTTTTTTAGTTAATTTGAAGTAAATTTTAGATTAATAGTAGTAGTAGTAGTAATTTTAGATTAATAGAATTTTAATTATGTCTCAAAAAGAGACAGAGAAACAAATTTATGTACCTTATACAAAAAAATGAAAAGTTATAACAATTATTATTTTTCTCAACTTTTAGCTTTAGCTATTTTATTAAGGAAAAATTAATTCAAATTTGATCAAGAATTTGCAGTGAAAGAAATACACTTACAATTAGTAAAAGGCTCTTTGTGTAAAAATATTATTGTAATTGATAAATGATTTTTATGTCACATTTCAAGTGTGGAGAGAAGTAAAAATAATTCTTTTTCCTGCAGATTCCGCCATGTATCACATCACCTGCGGATAGCATCGATTCTATCAAATTTGTTTCAAGTACATCAAACTTTCCACCAAGATCTGATGACTGGTCATTAGCCACTCGTATAGCAGTGGCATCTGTAACATCGCAGGGTACAATGGGTGGCCTTATTGTTGCTGGCTTTGTATGTACAACGTTATTTGTAATTTACTTCTACACTTCTTACACACGCACATACACAGAAAGAGGAAGGAAAACAGATAAAGATAAGAGAATGTCTCGTTTAACTTGAGACGACTTGAGTACCTTAATTTTTTGTGGACAATAAATCTATATATGCGTTTAGCAGTTTAAGTACTGTATAAAACTGTACGAAACTGTATAATAGGAAGATTAGTGAGAACAATTTATTTTAACAAATTATTTTAACATCTCAACAATATAATACCGATTAACTTTCGATTTTTATAAACGTGTGTGTGCGTGTGAAGGAAGAGTTGTGAAACAAAAACAAGATTCTACAAATAAGTGTTTCTTCTAGATGTTAAAAACAGTAGGATGGAGATTAATTGCTATAACTGGTGCTATATATGGTGCTTTGTATCTCTACGAGCGTCTAACGTGGACTAATAACGCGAAGGAACGTGAATTTAAACGACAATATGTTTCACATGCTACCAAAAAACTGCGATTGATTGTGGATCTTACTTCTGCAAATTGCAGTCATCAAGTACAACAGTATGTTATAACAATATGTGTACCTACATATTTATGCAGATATAAAGATACATAAGAAGTAGAAATTTATACAAAAAATAATTTTGCTTTAATTCCAATTATTTTACTTTGTTTTTTAAAGCAGTTTGATATTTAAAAAATAAAATGTATAGTTATAATAGAATTTCAATTTTTTGCGATCTTTACATAATTATTGATGGATTTATAATGTAATATCTTTTTCTCAAAGCTGTCAAATTAACTCTCCCATTATTGTCGAAATCGTTTTTTAGAACATTACAAAGTAGCATGTATACTTATTTTTTACATTTAATTTTTTACATAATATTTGATATGATTGCACATAGGGAGCTCTCCAGCACATTCGCACGGCTCTGTCATTTGGTAGATGAAACAACATCCGAAATGGATACCGAACTTAGAACTATAGCGAATACTTTAGCTGTATTGGAGAAAGCAGCAGCTAAGGCAAAGCATCTTCGAAACGAAGCCAACTTTTTAATAAACGAGCTCGATACCTTCGACGCAGCTTATTTGAAACCTTTGAATTAAGTGAACCTGTTTTGTACATGTTAATGAATTTATTGAAGTAGTGTAATAGTTTCGAAGGAATACTTGTATGTGACGTAGTTGTTGAAATATCTGTAATATTTTGTTTTAGTGAATTAATAATTAACATCGTATGTGACAATTGAATGATAGACGTTTATATGCATAGATATAGATTCATATTCTGATAATTTAGTACGGTTATCTAACCGTCTATTTACATGAAAAAATGATTTTTGTATTAGATAAATCAAATAAGAGAAATGGACAGTGGTATTTAAATTTACGCAAACAATATAATACACAATAATCTTTTAAAGAGCATTATTTATACAAGGATTGTTTCTACCTGATAAACTCTAGTCCTAATATGCAGGAAAATCTGTTCCTTAAAGTAAATCGTATTAACTAACTTTATTAGTAGTAACTGTTCTTTTTCAACAGAAAATTTTAAAAACTGTAGTTGTTACACAAGAGAGAGATGAATTTAAAAAAATTTATATATATGCATATTTCTTACTTTCGGAAACATTGTACCACATTGAATATCCTTTAACGAAACTTCTTATATGCTTATGTCAGATTTATTACAGGTATATATCATCTGATTTACTTACAAAAATCCAGTATATATATATATACATATAAAACTTTACCTTTTTATTAGACTTTACTGAAGAATGTATGTGATGTACAACTATGAATAAATATGGTTAAATATTATGAATAATGATTTCTCTAATTAGTTGTAATAACTTTATATTAATATGTCTTTAATAAGTTTAATAAATGATAATATTTTATATGGTTTTATTATATTACAAACTTGTAATAATATTGTAGGTGTTTATACAAATCGATTTTGAGTACGTGTGTGTGTGTGTATGTGTGCTGCTTTCATCGATTTTAGGAGGTAAGGGGACCAAATCTGAATAATTACCCTTTACATTGTGATGATTGTACTGTGTTTTAAGCAGTTTTAAGACTTAAAATCGGCGCGCAGTTCTCGTTTCGAATACTGTCACGATAGGTGGCATTCGCGAATCAACATTAGACTATTTATTACGATGAATATTTCCATATGCCTTGGTGGTCGAATTAGTTGAGACGCCAAATTTGTGTTTATCACATTTGAGCCAAATTTATTAATTTGTTAATTACTCTTTAGTTGGCCGTAACAAGTCGTTGCTCGGAATGCCAGGATCATATTCTGTCATGGCCGAAACCGGAAATCCGGTCGGCCTCTATACTGGGAGCAAAAGTGACAGCGAAGCGAACAGTCTATATACATATGGAAGTCTGTGTCTAAATCAGTCCTGTACGCTTTCGTATTGAGAAAGTAGAAATGTGCCGTTCGATTCACTGTAAACCTTGAAATGTTGAATGTTGTACACCAATGTTATATTTATCATACAAAACCCTTCATAAGACTATATCGGTTATTTAGCATGGTAAATATTTTGACAAATGTACGCACTGATAATGCCATTCTTACGTTTCGGTGAAATTTTATTTAGGTATACAAGTGGACTAAAGATCAATGACACGCTCGATACACTTGCATTTAAATAACAAATTAACAAATGCAGTGAAACGACCTGAACTCTAACAATATGAAAACTTCATTTAACTATAATTGCTAAGGCAATGAATCTAAGATTAAGACCTGCGACAAACTTGAGGCATATTATTTTAATTTGTAATTGTTAATTTTATTTAAGTATACTTCGATGAGTGGACACGCTCACTTATCCACTCGCTTGCACACAATATTAATTTTCTTCATTTCAAACATTTTTTATGCCGTTGTAAGAATATACATACTTGTAGTAAAATTATTTCACGTTTGTGCGACTTAATTCTCGGCCCATAACTTTGAACTCACATAGAATCTATTTAAATTTATCTTTTCCGGAGTAGACTCATTTTAAAGATCCATTTGTTAGCTTTAAAAGGTATTACAGCAACAGTAGCTATTGTGCAAACTTAACCTAAAATTTGTACCATACGCAACGTCGGTCGGCAAACAACACTCAAGACACTGCCTGCTATTCGCTTTCCAACTTAAAAAAAATGCTGCTGAAGCCCGGGAAATGGTTTGTGCCGTTTTGGGAGATCCTGTTTCTTACTCTAGATGTAAAAAATGGTTTCAATGCACGGCCACACACTGCAAAAACAACTCTGGAAACGATAACGGGTTGGGAAGTATTATCGTACCTGGCGTATTCTCCTCACCTTGCGCCTTCGGATTACCACCTCTTCAGATCTCTGCAACATCACCTTGCTAACACAAACTTCAGTTCCGTCGAAGACGTCAATAAATGCATCGTTGATTTGATCAACTCGAAAACACCTTCATTTTTTCGAAGTGGAATCCGACAGCCTCCTGAAAGATGAAGTAAATGTATAGAAAACGAGGGAGACTACTTCGAGGACTAGGAACCTGTTCGTTTTGTTTTCAGTTAATATTAAAGTGTGACAAAAAAGGCCGAGAATTAAGTTGCACGCCCAATATAATTACAAGTCTGTAAGTGACAAGGTCTCTTGTCAGATTTGTAGTTTTGAAAAAGAAAGTACTAACAAGTTGCTATTTTGTTTTTGTATTAGAGTGCAGATGATTTTAATTATTAAAATTGAAAGTTTTATCACAATTTATTTTATTTATCGTAATTATTTCTGCTAGGAAACGGCTAAGCTGGAGAAGAATCGTCAATCTCGTGATATAATTGGACCTCCTGATCCAGTTTCGAACTTAAGGCCGATTGTATTTGTCAGCCGCACAAAGGAAACTTACTCGGAACAGAAATATAGGGCGCTTAGAAACGAGACGCAACAATGGAATCAGATATTCTGGACCAAGCATAATACTAGCTTTACTGAGGTGATTTTGTTGAGCTCTGATTGTTTTATCTAGTATAATGTAAGATTCATTATGGCTTGTAAGAAGGTTTAATGAAATTTCAGGAACGTGAACAATTTAAACAGATGTTAAAGGCACAAGGAAGGATAGCAACTGCAGATGACATGTCAGTATTTTACAAACAATTTTTAGATAAAAATTGGCAGTCTCATTTTAATTACAACATTGCGTGGTACAAAAGAAATATAAAAATTCTGTTTTTTGGAATAGCATCAAAAATATCTAAACTTAAATTTAAATAAATTGAAATTCGTGTAACTCTTCTTTTCTGAATATTTATACAAATTATGTAACGTTGAAACTACTTAAATAAATGTATTTAAAATGTTAGTTTTTCTCTTCTGTTTGTGATAGTTACATAATGTAATTGAATTGCTTTGTAATGGCAATATGCAATAAGTAAAATTATTATTCATTCTTTAATCGGAATATTAATATGATAAAATGTAAAATTGTGAGCCAAATTTGTAGGTACTATTAATTGATAGTAAAATTACGTACTAATATTCTGATATCAAAACTGTAAGTATCAACAATCTAGACAAAAGATTAAATTTGTAAAATATAAAAACGATCAAAATCTTAAACAAGAATCTTACAGTCCCATGCTCTTTTATTTTCCGTATTGAACTTAAATATTATTGAAGAAATACAACATGTTAGTATTTTCAAAACATTTCATGCAATATGCAAGTGTGGCGATTATGACACAGAAAGATGTGCGCTGCTCTAATGAGCCAAAAATCAGAGTTGAAATCCAATCAAAACATTGTTAGTTTTTATTTGATCGTTTGGCAGCAACGAGAGAAAATATCTAAAGACATTATATGATAAAACAATTAGATTATGCAAGTTATTTTCAGTAACGTGGCGAGTGTGGTGTAGAGAAATATGCGCTGCTTAGTAAATGAATAAACGAAAAGATCAGAGTTCAAATCCACGAACACCACTGGTTCTTTCGGAATTTTCCAAAGGAAAGTGGTAACCACCGAGAGTATCCTGCCATACATATCCTTTTAGGGACACTGCCTTCCAGATTGGAGGTTTCCTTCGGCAAAGTTAGCAGCCTACCGAAGATGAAGTAAATGCTCAAAGTACCAGGTCGTTCTGGTACAGAACTAGTACAGAACGAACCGGATAAAAGGAAGATTTTCATTAAAATTTTTCTTTAATAAATATTATTTATTTCAATGTTGTTTTGAACTAATTTATAATCATTTCATTGTGGCTTTGCCATCAATCGCGAGAACACGCTTCCCTTAATTACTTTGATTACACTTGTAATAATAAAAATTGTTAGTTATACAGGGTGAGAGAAAAGTACCGGACCGGTGAAATATCTCGAAAAATATGGAAGATACGGAAAAGTCTTTCAGACAAAAGTTGTACGGTTTTAAAAGGGCTATATAATGGTAAAATTAATTTTCGAAAAAATAAATTTTATGGTTATATAGAGGTCGCTGTCATTTTTTTAAATGAAACTCCCTATTGTTTATTATACTATCTTATTCTACTGCTTAATATGAACAATTTTTGTCTGAAACATTTTTCCGTATCTCCTATATTTGTCGAGATACTTCACCGGTCCGGTACTTTTCCCTCACCCTGTATAAAATAGAGCGTCTTAAAATATGTAATATAGTACTATTTTGTAAAACTTCATACGTCTAAATTTAAATATTCGTATTTTGCAAGATCATTCGGCTTCGCTTTACATGTCCAGTCTTGCAATTGTTAACGTTACTACCGAACCTCAGCGAATTCAACGTCTCGTTATAACATTCGTCTAATGGGGATATATTTAATAACATCAACGTTTTCGAATTGCCTCCCAGAGAAGGCATGAGTAAGTGGGTCAATTTAGAATTTCTATAAGGTACATGCTCCTGTTTCTTTAAAAGAGCTAAAATCACGTTGCCAAGATTGGCTAAAGACTTATTGATGTTTTTTGTCTCTGCAGTCCTAATAGCTTCTTCAGACTTCAAACGTTCCGACCCGGCTAAGTCGACTAAATTCAGATTTCCCACTACCACCTCTTGTTTTGTAACATGTGTACCAATTAATCGGATTCTTGCTACCGAATGAGACCTAGATGATCTGGAACGCAATTATCTAAATTAAATTACATCCTAATAAAGATTTAATTGTATAATATACGTTTTTGATCATTACTTATTTAATTAAAAAGATAAAGACAAATTTTGCTTGTTGCAATCTCTTATTGCAATGTAAACTATAAGATGCATAGCTCTGTGAGCATGAATGATTAGTAGTGAAGGGTTTTGGGTTCAATCTTAACGCTTATCCCGTACATTCCGATAAGGAAGTAAGGAAGACTCTACATGAAGAAAGACTACTAGAAATTGGAAAATGCTAAACTAACAGAGATCCTATATTATACGAGCTTAACAGTGAGATCAAAGATCGATCATTCAACTTTTCTTCATTAAAAAAAAACCTCTAACATAATATATAAATGTAAAATAAATTTACCGTTCATTTGATTGAGTAGCCGCAACAGCTCGGTTGCGTTGTGCAGTACGTAGGCACGCGTATAATTCCTCTGCATTGTGTATTTCTTTAATCTGAAGGTTACTAACGTATAAGTCGTGACCTTTACTGTCAACCATTCGTATTTCGTGCATCTTTGGTTGACAATCGAGTAGATCGATAATATGTTCATTATAAATTTCCAGGAAACTTGCTTCTATTCGATACTCCCAACCGAGAAGTTCGAATTGTTTCATCTCTACAAATATGTGGCGTACCTGAAATTACATAAGAATAATTCGAATTCCCTTTAAAGAACATTCTATTTGAAACAATTGCATGTATAATGTAAATTGGAACATGTCTATCAATTTCATAGCACTATGTGATAAATACATACTGTTCTAGGTATCATGCCTTCGATCTCTAATCCACATTCGCCTTCCATAGTGTACGTCTTACCAGAACCAGTTTGGCCATAAGCAAATACGCAAACATTATATCCTTCAAGTGCTGATTGCACTAAAAGGGACAATTCTTCAAACACATCTGCCTGCGAAGCTTTGGGAGCAAATACTTTGTCGAATGAAAATTCTTGTTTTGTTCCTCGTTGCTTTCCACTGCAGCTCATTGCATCCGATCCATCCGATTTACCTACTTCAATGGTACAGTCGTCGATGAAGTTTATGTTACACAACCTGTAACAAACAATAGTCATGCAAATACATAAGTCTAAGTATTAAAATAATTTTATTTTCTTGAGTAAGATATAGAGGAAAGTCCTCTATTATGAGGTAGAATTCTAATACGAGATAGCAGGTTTTCAACGTCCAAATTCTATCAGAAATTTTTTATTGCAACGATTACACGAACAATGAATTTTGCACTCAACAGAGATTTCACTTCAAGGGTAATAAATTGATGGTGAAATCACCTGATGATGCCTATTAATTTAACAGAAACCCCGCTATCCCATAATCCTATCTCATAATAGAGGACTTTCATTATGCAAAATACACACGAAGAATAGTTCTCGTTCTGCAAAAATTGTAAGATACACGTTCAAAAAGTAGTCCTATATTCTTGTGTTAATAATTAAATAAATTTTCTCTAATAATTACAAAACACATTTACTTACGCTTTCATCTGTTCAGTTTCTTTTTGAGTTGGTGGACGAACTCTACAGAAGACTCTTATATTGCCCTTTAATTCTTGAATAGTGTTGTGTAATACCCTGCGTTCTTTGTCCATTTTGTGAGTCAATGCTCTCAGTTCTTCCTTGTTGATATTCAAATCAGTGTTTAGCTCCTGCTGAAGTTTTAAATCTTTTCTCAAAGTCGTTAGTTCCTCAGTTTGCTCCGAAATCAATACCTCTTGTGTCCGTGATTTTTCTTGAAATTGGTTCAATGCAGAAGAAAGATTTGTGCACGATTCTTCTAATTCCCTCAAACGTTTTGTCATATCTTCCTCATTTTTCCGAATCGCCGATAGTTCTAATGTTAAAGTCTCAACTTCGCTAGTCAAGTTATTGTTTGAAAGTTTAAGTTCTTCCATTTTATTATTGTGCGTAGCTTCACCAGCTTGTAGCTTATTCACCAATTCTTCGAGCCCACTGCATTTCGATATCATGTCTTTATTTTTTTGCTGCGCAGCTGTTAATTTGCCACTCGTCTGCGCCAAGCGACCTCGTAGGTCCCACTTTTTAAGCTTGCCTGCGTTATCTACGTCATTCTGGACAGCTCTGTTAACTTTGCTTGCTGTAACATTATTTGGCTTAATCACTCGTGGAACTTTAGGAACAGGTTTGATATAAGGCTTCTTCGCATCTCCATGTGCGATATTAGTAGCTGCTCGTTTTAACGTTGTTACGTTGTTTGGTCGGGTAATTGGACATAACGTTTGTGCTCGATTTAAGGGTTTTATCGGTGGCTTGTTTTCGTTTGTAGACTTAATGCTGGCAGGACCTGCCAATGTTGATGTCGCTGACTTTAACGTTGATGTCAATGTTGGCGCTGACATATTGTCGCTATTTGTAATTGTTTTATGATTATTATTCTTAGCAGTTACATTCGTTATATTAGTCTCTTGCTTTACTTTTATTTTTGGTACTGGTAAACGGGATTCCATCTGTAGATATAATTAGTATATAGATATAATTTACAAGTATCAAATAAATGTAAAAGCTTAGTTCGTTTAACATATGAAAGAAACCCATACAGCACAAACTTCCAAGGGACGTCCTTAGGACATTCTACGTCCTAAGGACATCCTAAAGATGTTCTGAGGACGTCCCTTGGAAGTTTGTGTTATATGGGAAACGAAATGAATATATTAAATAAACCATGCATGTACCGAAAGAAAGGGGGGCTGCCTCTAAATCAACGCTATTCAATAATATACTTACAGATTACATCGTGTGCACTCACTCGGATGGCATGCGTTTCAAAAACTCAATATATACCTCATGCAGTAAATTAAAGGAATATTAAAAGCTATACGGAAAGAACTTAGCTCTATACTAAATGTTATATCTTTAGACTAACAAAAATAAAGCAAAACACAACAAACCTCGCCGCTCACAATAACACAATCAGTTCTCCAATTGCAGTACAACTCTCACACAATCCTCTACTTATTATACGTTGTACAATTACCTAGAGTTCACGTAACATCGACATGTTTATTCATTTTACAAACTAGAATTCAATTCGTGAGGGAAAACTGACTCCCGTAATCGTGAATCGAGCACAGAGCGGAGAATACTACAAGCTTCGCCCCTTTGTGTAAACGTTGTCACCAGTTTCGTTTAGCACCGACGGTTAACGATAGCTTCATTTGAACTTGACTCCTTGGTGGGGAATCGTATGCGTGCAACCAATGAGATATGGACAGGTTGTGCACCACTTCACGAATACCACACATGATGAGAGTAGAGTCCCTATAATAAGGTTGCGTTTCCATGGAGCGCGTCACGCGTCGCGTCATGCCCGCTAATCCAATCAACGAACCGCTTTTGTGGAAAAGTAATAGGCCTAGTTTACATCGATCACTTGGTACGCGTATCAAATAGTAAATAACTAGTAAATCAGTTTAATCATTGGCTGATCAGCTCAAATACACTACTTGATACGCGTATCAAGTGCACGATGTAAACTAGGCCATAGACTTTCGGTTGCACGCTGTACGCTCATTGAATTATCGCGCATGACGCGACACGTGACGCAGCCTTGTTCAATGGAGAGAGAAAGATCAAATTAATATTTTCACACTCAATCCGATATCCGACGTACGACGTACATACGACATCCAATATGATCGATTTACACTTTTAGATCCAATAAGAAACCAAAAGTAAAATTCAATCGTATTAGATATCGGACGTCGTACACGGATATCGAATCCAGTGTGAATCCTGCATAATAGAACTTTCAAACGAGAGGGCGCGAAGATGACGTCATCGCGTCGACCCGATTCCCTTGGCGCCATTAGTTACCGAGTTCGCCGCTTCGTGTCGGTCGTGTCGCGAGCCAGCAATCACGGCTGGCACGGCCGTGAGAGCGTCCGACGGGAAGTGTTGTCGTTCGGATTCGCGCCTGTTTATAACAGATTCGGTGCAGCGAGAGCCAGCCGTGCGGCCGACGACGATGAGCGCCGAGGAGGAAGTGTTGCGTATTCAGATGAAGCTGAAAAAGATGTCGAGCGGTGACGAGACGGTGAGTAATAAGTGAGTAAACTAAAGATCCGCAGTATACTGGCCGGAGGGGTGCGCGCGCGTTGAGTTTGGGGAAACCGTTGCGCGACGCGAGGGAAACGCGCCGTTCCACTCTCGACGAGTGATCGAGAGTGGCACCGTCGCCCGCGCGCGAACGCGAGGAACCCGCGCGTGGGCAAGATCGCCGCGACGTCGCGGGCGCTACGTGTTTGTTTACCCGTGGAACACAGTGTGTTGCATGGCGTCCAGTTCGCTCCACACGTATGTACCTGCTATATCCGCGCGATTGAGTCTTAAAAGTCCCTAACTCGTTTCTCACAATATTGTATCATTCAATGTTTATCACTTGTCGCAGGGTGATGCTTGCGCAAGATACCTTTGTTGTAATTAGAATTATTAGTCGTAAATAGTCGTGTAATTTCATATTCTCTGCTATAATTGTCCCTGGAAAATAAAATGTGTACACATATGTAGGAATGTTGATATCCGTGTCGAAATTGTACTACCTGAAAACGAAGCTGCTTGCCTTGTGCAAGTGGTACGCACGATGGTTATGATACGTCTTTGTTAATCAGGGCCAGGAGCAGGCTCTGGAATTGCTCAAGATACTTCAGAAGCTGCCTGTCGACTTGGAGCTCTTGACTAAGACACGCATTGGAATGACTGTGAATTCCTTGAGGAAATCGAGCAGGGACGAGGAAGTTATTTCTTTATCTAAGACGCTTATTAAGAACTGGAAAAAGTTCTTATCTGGTACGTGTGTTTGTGTGTGATTAAAATGTATAATTGGTTTTTATACATAGATAATTAATAATCTGGTGTCAGGGTCAAATAAAGAGAAAGACTCCACGTCGTCGAGTAGTTCGAAGAAGAAGGATGAAAAACTGGACAAAGCGAAAGAGGAAAACGATCAGAAGAAAGAGAAAGATACGACGGACGCCGTCGAAGCAAAGGTGAAGGATGATAAACCCGTCAAAGATATTCAAAGGAAACAATTGTCTTTCCCCGCTCCTACCACAACAGACGCGGTCAGATTAAAGTGCAGAGAGCTGCTGGCGACGGCTTTGCGCGTCGATGGAAAAGTCATCGAGGGGTGTGCCAGTCCAGAAGAATTGGCGGAAGAATTGGAGGAGGCGATCTACGGGGAATTTAAGAACACCGATAACAGATACAAAAATAGGGTAATTAAACGTACATTATCTCGTTATCTCGCGCACGAAGCCTTGCGCGTATAATGTAACGGTATCTACGCTGGTTGTATCGCGTGTATTTATAATTTTGCTTACTTGAATTAACAGGTACGCAGCAGAGTGTCTAATTTGCGCGACATGAAGAATCCCACTCTAAGGACAAACTTTTTAGTGGGTGCGATCACGCCTGCCAGATTAGCGGTGATGACTGCCGAAGAAATGGCGAGCGACGAGATCAAGCAGCTACGCGAGCAGTTCAAGAAGGAGGCCATCAACGACGCGCAACTCGCCACCGTGCAGGGAACCAAGACCGACTTGCTCAAGTGCGGCAAATGCAAGAAGCGCAACTGCACATATAATCAAGTGCAGACGCGCTCGGCCGACGAGCCGATGACCACTTTCGTGTTGTGTAACGAATGCGGAAACCGATGGAAGTTCTGCTAAGCTACTGTTTTTCTTGACCTATGCTATACCGTGACGAAATGTATCAAGCATCATCCGCTTAGAATTCAATACTTATAAGTTAAATTAAAGATTGTATACTTGTGGTTTCTTGATTATCGCATTACAAGAGGAAACTTTGTTCGGCACTGTACACCGTCATTTTTTTTATCTTTCGAATATCTCTGGCTTTTTGTTCAGAAAATCATGTATCTTAGTCTAAAGATAATTATATGCTGTAAAGATTTTTTACATCTGTTGCATGGTCTATGTTCTAAAGATTACCTGAAACAATTGCGGAAATTTTCTTTCGATTGAGTAACCGAATTACACAGATGAGCAGTGTACATGGATTCATTGAGTGTAGTGACAGTCTTTGCGAAGAGTACGTTTTCACATTATTGTATATATTAAAACCGCTCCATTAGATCAGAGCTTCATGGAAATCTGAATGCTCCTCGGGAAAGCGTGAGAACATCTATAATAAATAATGTATCTTTTTAAACGGCATTTTAATTCATGCGCTTTTATTCTAACTGCGATTGCGATTCTGAGTTTACTTCAGCCCACTGCAAGTTTACGATTGTGTGCATAATTGTGTGATATAAGTAGATCATCACACTTTGTCACTGCTGAAATGCAGATGTCTATAAGAGCTATAAATTGTATCTACAAGTCTGAAATATACAGATACAACACTGTCGTTCGAGCTTTTCTCAATTACCTCTCTGCGCGACGTTCGGCAATCACTGCAATTATTGGTGTGCTTACCATGGAATTATTTCGAGAGTACTGAAATCGATGAAAAATTAAAGTTGAAAAATTACCGAATGTATACATGTATTTCGAAGTGAATCAATTTTTTTTAAATAAAATTAAAAATGTAACGCTGTGAAATATAAGGAAAGTACACCGTTGAAAAGTAATAAAAGATTATGAGATAGTGTGAATTTTATTGAATTTAACTAAAAGCTCACAGTAGTAACGAAAAAGAGTTATGAGAAATAAATTCGGACAATAATATTATATATGCATGTGACGTTTACGTTCGTATCAGTGATCCAAATGTGTACATTGATTTTTTCAGAACTGAAACGTTAAGGCACTTTACTCTTGAACGTGGTTGTCACATTTGCGAGAGTCACCCCATCGAACTATTGTGTGCTGCATTTTTAATCAAGGCACAATCATATAGGATATATCAGTCACGCTGATGAACTGTAACGTTTAACACAATGACTATACTTTTTATTTAAAATTAGTTTACGAGGTACATTTATATACATAAAAAATTTATGACTATTACATTAAGCTTATGCAATATAGACAGTATATTCGTGCATGTGTATGTGTGTATGTGTGTGTGCGTGTTTGTGTATACGTGTATGCTAACGTAACAGTAGAGCTCTATTAAAATCCACATTTATACTCGGCGTTTGGATAAGAACCTAATAGTCATTTACATCTAGTTTGTATCAACTTGCCGTGGGTGATGATACCGGAATGTCGTAAGTTTCTCGCTTTTTTGCGTACCAAACAAAACTCGCGCGAAAACGTCGTCGATCGTTCAGATTCTGTCCAAGCGGCGCAAAATTTGAGAAAGGTCAAAATCCGCGTTCGTACCACGCAGGTCGAACGTGACGATTTAATCTTGTACTTTGCCATACGGAAAATCTCGTGACGAGACCCTCCGTTATCTCGAACGCGAATTAGAGGATAGCCACGTTTAGCATTCAGTACGAGATATGAATACAGGGTCAAGTAATGTTTAAGACATTGCGTTTCGTATCCTACATCTGGCGTTAAACGTGGCAGTTTGATCATCAGCGATCGCAAATCTTTACGTGAACCTTGCGCGAACGGAAGTCTTTTCAGATGTGCCTTCAGCGGGATACAAGTCCAGGTTTCCTCGGAGCAACGTTTCGGTTACTTGGATACGATCGCACGATAATTGCACGACAATCTGACGACAAAATGAAGCATACGTCAGGGATGGGGGGGGGGGAGGACAGGCGGGAATATCGCGAGTGAACGCGAGAACGTGATCAACCAGGGTGTGATGTTTGTAGGCCCGCGATGAGAATACGCAGTATTTCTTTTCTCTGTAAACGTCAGAAAGGGCTCGCCCTCTTGAACGTGAACGAGCGCGACCCCTCGCTTTGATCGACGCGACAACCACGTGGTGGGCGCCGCCGATGACAGACTCGCTCTTAAATTATAAACAGATATACACGCATGTCTAAAATTACCTCTCGATAATATTACAATAGAGTTGATCGCTGTCTCAGCTCAATGACAGACTGGTGTGCCCACGAATCGTTCGTTCCTCTCCTCCTTTCTCTCTCTCACACACACACGCGCAGACACACTCTCTCTCTCTTTCTTTCATTAATTAACTTACTGTATACACACATAGGCTGGACTCGTATCTTTATACTTAATATACATCGAGTCGATCTTTACACGTTTCTTCAGTGAATTTTTTTCGAACAAACATTTAACAGACACTTGAGATTCTTGCGGTACACGGATATACAATGTACATATATCGGTATATTTGAATATATACATATATATATATGTACGAGTATGTGTGTGTAAGTGTGGGTGTGTTTATGTATATATATATGCACATATATATATGCATATTATAGATATATTCTTTATTTCTTGCATGACGAACGATATATAATATATGCATCCTCGTGTAATTCATTTTATCAATAGACTCTCCTCTTATATTCACCTTTGTTCCTTTTTTTTCTCTTTCTAATCCTTTTCTCTCCTCCCGTAAAATGCATGACACAAAAATAAATGCTTGTATCTGTGAATTATATTTACCTTCTTTTTCCACCTCCCTTACACACATCTCCCCGCGACGTATACGCTTAATTAACCATATATAGCTTAGCTTCTTCTTTTTACAAAATATCACAAAAATCACACCAGCCTTTGTTCGCAGCAAGAAGCCATAGTTGTTGAAATCTCGTCAAAACGACACACTCTCGGTCCATTCCGCGCTCTCTCGCGCGCTTGAAAACATTAACATGTATTAACGTGTGTATCGATGCGATCGCACGTGCTCGTGGGAACATGCGGCCATGCCGTATAATTGTCGTTGGCACCGGATTTGCGTAACAGATAGAACGAGGATTTCCATGCAGCGAAGGCTCGATAAGAGCTGCGGAGCCACGTTACCAATTTCGAAGGTAAAACGACCAACTGCAACGTCAATCCCTCTGCGTTTCCAATTTAAAAGTCTCTTAACTGACGCGCGTTCTAACAGGTATACGTCTCATTGGGTTTACTAATTTTACAAACGATCGTGCGTAGGAACCAAAGTTCAAGGGAATCGAGTTATCATCGAGCCGCGACGCAAACTCGGGGAGCAAGCTTGTCGTAGATTTAATCGGGTGATAGCAAAATTACGATCTGGACGAAGCCTAGGCTCAATTCCGACCTGGAGTCACCTCGTTTTCTCGATGCGAGAATCAAAAGATTATCACGCATCATCTGACCGCAGCTAAAGTGGTCTCGCGGGACAGTCAATATGTTACAGCGTCATTCAGCATATTTTTTGGTACGGCAGGTGTGCAACCACGTTTTTATCCGCGTGCACGTGATATCGCACATATACGTTCGCACATTATTCGCGCACACGATCTAATATCGCCTTAGGATCTAGACATCAACTTTTTTCTTCTTTCCCACTTTTATTCTTTTTTCTTTAACATTATTACGAATTTTGTCGCCTCGATTCGAGAGATAAGTGTTCACACGCTGCGGAGCTCTCGCTATGTCACACTCTGAATGCCCGAAGAACAAGGAAAAGCGAATCGGACGACAATGAAACAATGAAAGCGCTAGTGACCAGCACGATGCGCGGACGCGCGGCGTCTTCATAAAGTGTCGATCGCGCGTGTTGAAGGCGGAGAAAATACATCTAAACGCTACTGTCTTTTATAAATATACGGTTGTTATCCAATCGGTCTTATTGCACGAACTCTTCTAGCGAGGCCTGACGTACGCGTGAAAATCTCTAGGAATCCGGAGAACATTTTCTTTTTATGCACATCGATTAGATAGTCCGATACCCTCCTTCACCCCCAGGGAAAACTCTGTGCATCTCGCGACATGCTCGCGCATTATTTTATTCAGAAAGAATCACACGACATGAAGTTATTCTACCAATGCGTCGGTTCTTCTCTTATAATTTTCTTACACATTTTAGCAAATCGTTATTTTTAATGGAAAACCTCTTCGGATCGCCACACGAAGAGAACTTCCGTATATAAAATATTTAATTTTTTAAAATCGTATAATATATGTATATATATACACATATATATATTTCTATGTTATCGGAACTGTTCTCTCCTTCTTTTTCCTTCTTTCGAATTTATCTATTATGAGAGAGAAACGGCGAGCGCTCATAACAATTCAAGTTGCTATCTTGCCATTAAACTTGCTATTTTATTTCTATTTAATTTTCTTATTTGATGGTTTATAGGAAGTACACTCCTAATCATAGAAAAGCGATTTCGTACACAAAGATGCCGACGTTCTCGTGAATCGTTTGTATCGAAAAATCATACATCCCATGGTCGATGTATTCATAGCGCGTCCACGTTAGGTTTGTAACAATAAGCGCAATACAAAAAAGAATCTCTAGGATTCGAGATATACATATGTCGCATTAACACAGCTCTTTCTCATAATTCCCTGTACTTGTCTCCCTGAATGTTTCGCTAAAATACGGCTCGTTGAAAGTGTTCTAAGCAGACGTCCGAGGTCGCGATTAGCATTCAAAAATATATACATGGATTATCACGAATTAATTAATTCTTCCTGCGAATTATCCAAGGCAACACGATGCATCAGACTTGTTTTATACAGATATGGGAAAGTTCGACGCCTCACCCCAATAACGTCAACGAAGTATTCGCGGATGTTTTGTCATTTTCAAAAAACACAAGTGTTCACAATTTATTTTCTCCCACCGAATCATCGAACGACAATGTGCTTCATTTACAAGTCTTGTTTTTCACAACAAGTGGTACCATCCAGACAAAAGTTTGCTAATAATATTACAAAATGTTTCCATTCCAGGTTTTACATCAAGTCTCGAAAACCATTCGTTGTTCGTCGATAAGACACTGGGATCGAAAATTTATCAAGCGATAGCCAATTTGGTGGGCGAAAGCTATTTAGCGCGGCTCGAGTTCATCTCAACAACGTTAACAGCGGTTCGTTAAAAAGATTACAAATCTTGTGTTCCACAATAAAAAAAGAAAGAAATCTGTAGAATGGACAAACACAATTTGTCATCCATAGCTAACTATACAACAATTTCGCGCATCAAACGCGCGAGGTGCAATAGAAACATTTGCAAAAACTCACAAACAACTTTTGCGCTTTCGCGTCTAGCACAAAAAAAAGTAAAGAAAGGGAGGTCCGCGAGCTTGCGACGTAGCAGTCGCAAAAAATTGTCATTAGCCTCCCGAAACGTTACAGATCACTTCTTCCTTATTACTTGGCCGTTGTTTATCTATCGTCTTATTTGAAAAGGAAAATGTTCGAAAATCTTAAAGTCGGGGACTGCGCACGAATTTACACGCGTCGTCGACCGCGTTCCGGCAAGTGGAACATTCGTAGCTGATCATGCGCCTGTCACAGCAGCCACGCGTGATGACGGCGAGTTCCTCGATCCCCACTGAGAAATGCACTTGTAGAGACCCCAAAGAGCATTTACACAGTTTCGTGCAATTATTTTATGCTTTCTATACCTAGCAGAATGATCTTCATACACCTCATTTGGCCTCGTCCTGCTCCATCGGCTCCTCGGAAACCTCTCGGGAATGTTCTGGCGTGGTCCTGTCGTTTTAAATAAATAAATATATAATATAATTGCACAGTATAAGGTTTAATTACAAATTATTAATATTTAATAATCTCAGAGACAGACGATGAAAAAATTATGCTTGATACTAACGTGAGGTTTGTAGGCTGCTGCATAGATAGAGAGGCCATTGCGGACACGGTTTCCGTTTCGTCGTGTTCCTTTTGGCTCGCCTCTATAGCGCTCATTGTGATCGTATGGTCAGTGAGCTTTACGCAAGGCCAGTGTGACATCTACGAAATAATATGACACTACGTCAAATGATGAACTAAATATAATTTAATTTGTACCATTCGCAAACACAAATTATTTCTAATAGTTTACAACGATCCTATAAACGCTAAATCTGATTTTTTGGCCTGTACCGAGTATTGCGCAAGTGGTACTTTTACCTTCGGTTTCTTTTGCATTCAAAATAATTGCATGCAGGATAAGACTTTCACTCTACAAATCACATTAGGGAAAATAAGAATGAACGCTGAAAGGAAGTCGGTATAAAATGGCATGTGGCTTTGCGTGAGAAAGATCGACTATGCAATTTATTCCGCGTTTAGATCCAATCTTCAGAGAATTGAAAACTACGAATAAAGGGATAAGGGGTAAACCATAAATCTGTTTCAAGAACGACAAACTGATGCACAGTATACACTGAAGGGAATTCAAAACTTAAAATCGCTCAGTTTCTGAACGAGGAGATTCAATTACATGACGCAATATTCGGCTTACCTGGATGGCGACGGTCTTCTGCAGGGTATCCATGGCGTTTTGGCAAGGAATCCTCGTGAGTTCCTCGTCCCGGATCGGACTGGGCTCGTCACCGAGCAGTGCCCGAACGCACTCCTGCGCCGAGTCGCAGATCGCCGTTAAATCGTAGCCACCTTCCAGGGCGAGGACGACCTTGCCATCCGCCAGATTAAGTAACTGTTGCGTCATCCTGCCGAAGCACGCCGGGCTGACTTTGTAGCCACCCAGTGGCGCCATGTGGCCCACAGCCGCGTCGAAGCCGGCCGAGACGATTACGATGTCCGGATCGAATGCCTTGGCGATCGGCATGACGATCGAGCGAAATGCCGCGAGATACTCCGCGTCGCCCATGGGCGGATTCAGGCCACCGGACCATGCCACGTTTACGTTGTAACCAAGGCCCTCGCCAACACCGCACTCAGTAGGCCCGCCAGTTCCGGGAAAGAAATTACCGTCGTCGTGTCTGTGTATCGACAAATACAGCACCCGCGGATCATCGTAAAACATCTGCTGAGTGCCGTTTCCATGATGAACGTCCTGAAGAACATACAAGATGCGCGATATAATACTTCATCATTCATGGCCTGTCCGGGCGTATATAGAATCTCAGTCCAATCTCTACAATTTCGATCTGTCATATCGCGTTGTTTATTTTCACGATGTAGAGCCGTTTAAATTAAAAATCACAGCAACATATTTTCGACGCAAAGAAATCATGCCGCGCGATAATAATGACTCTTACCCAATCTAAGATTAAAATTTTTCTAACGTCGAGTTTCTGTTGAAGTAGTCTCGCTGCGATCGCGACCGAGTTGAAGAAGCAGAAGCCCATGGCTTGGTTGGTCTCTGCGTGATGTCCGGGAGGCCTCACCACGGCGAAGCCGTTTTTAATATCACCCCGTGCCGCCTTGAACGCAAGCTCGACAACGCATCCTACTGCCATTCGGGCGGCAGGTGCGGTATTAAGCTCGTTCCACGTTGTGTCGGAATCGATGCCAACTCCGCCGCAGGGGAGCCGGACGAAATTCTTGATAGGCAACTGCGACAGCTTGGACATATCCAATTTCTGTCGATTCATCGGATTCGTTCCTGCGCACACCACGGGACTAGATTAATATCATTACTTGTTGGCACAATTATTCTACGGTTTAGCACTTAAGGGTCATTACAAAAAAAATTTTACAATTTACTTCTCTTTGTTTTACCGATAGTTTGTGAATTAACGTGTTCCTCGCATGACCGATTTTCGAGAACTTGCCGTTCGGATCGCGTGGGTCGCATGCGCCCGATATAAAATAAAGTGGAAAGAAGAAGACTCACCAAACAACAGTGCATGAGCCTCGCTATGGCACGTTTGGATCTCCTCGAGTGAGGCCTTGCGCGAGCGCACTCGGTCGCAACGTTGCAACAGGCCCGTCTCCGATAGCCTAGCCCACACGCTCTGTAATCGGCCACCGTGCTCAGGATGGCTTCTGACGGTATCCCCGCAGACACACGCGTGTTTCAACATTAATTGATCATAGGCTAATCCCGTGGTGGGCCGATGCGAAGAACTTCGCATGAAGATATCACTGCCGCTACCCTGAGGACCTTTAGAGACAAATGATTTCATGAGCCGAAAAAGTAGTCAACTTCTTTGAAAATTATTAGATTTACCCAAAGCTGAAAATAACAAAACCGGCAATTCTCTTTGCAATCTAACTAGAAGGAAACGTTCGATTGCCATACGGATTTCATACAATATTAGAGATAAATAAAAAATCTTTAGCGCCTCATACATATGTGAGAAAAGAAGGTTGAAATTTTACCTAGATGTACCAGAGGACTCGACAGTGCTCTCGAGAGCGGCCTGGCCGATTGAGTCCTACTTAAACCTCCGACGTAGGTGGTCGAGTCATTCGTCTGGGACGTGTGTCTCATCATGAGATCCCTCTGCTGTTGCAGGAACTGTTCGCGGTCTCTCTGCTGTTTCGAGATCTCGCTCTCCTCCGGATGGTCCTTCTTGCCCGTGAGATCTATCACCTCGGATTCCTCGGACTCTGGCGCCTCGTCCAGCTGATTGGCCTGGCCGCGCGAGCCCGCTCGCGTCAGAACGGTCTGACGGATCTGCTGTTTCAGATATATTTTGTGCTGTTGATCGTGCAACTGTTTCTCCGTTAGATGATACTCGTCGTAGTGAGAGGACGACGTCATCATACCGCCCTGCAGCATCGGATGACCCAGCGGCAGGGGTGCGGATTGGGTTCTACCTGGATGAGGGAAAAGAAAACGGTCGTATAAACGCTTGTGTCCCGACACGCTGCAGAGGAGTTACTGGACGACGCGTGCTATGTTTCGTGTAAGGACTGGTCCCTTGGGAAACTTTGGACGGCTGATCCCGGTAAGTTCAGCCTCGCTCCCTGGGTAAGAGTCACATTTCTCGGCGGAGACCATTGTCCATTGGAACAGGGCACGCGCACGGTAAGAACTTCTACGAAGACAAAGAGGGAACATACTACCTAAAGGCCGGTGATGACCAGCCTTTTGCAGTCTCGCGTGCGCCACTTGTGTGTCCGTGATCGGCACCGCGGCGTGATACACCGCTGCCGCCGCTGCCAGATGCTGCCTGTTGCCGCCCACCGTCCCGGACGGCGGCGCCGCCTGTTCCTGTAGATTCTGCATCTGCTTGTGGATGTACGTCGGCTCGCCCTCGATCACCGTCAGGGACGGATAAGACGGCAGGTTGCTGTGCAGCATCTGACCGGTGAGCGGCATGCCGAAGCGCGCCGTAAACGCGGCCCGCACTTCCGCTTCCGAGACCGGTGCCAATTTTGTCCCACTCTGCGAACAAAGGAACAGCTCACTGGTTAGCGAACGCGCGTCGATCAAACACTTGAAGATTCTAAAATTACCGATGTTATCTTATCGTTTTAACGATAAGTAACGACGCGAGGTACGGACTCTACTCAGAATTAATGTAATAAATAACTTGAGTGCCAAAAATATCCTATTATTTCTCGCGACGTTCGCTTTGCATAAATTCTTTATTTTATTCGGGATATCGGTCTTTTACCCTATTTTTTGTCTATGGATTTCATCACAAATTTAGTATTAAGAGTGCTATTATTGTTCGAAATGGCATTACACTCATCCCTCGATTTACCCTCAAAATACGATCTTGCGGATCTTGCGAAAGAGATCGGTTGATACGCAGTTTTTTATTAAAAGCGGGACAGCCTGTACTCAAACATACACGGAGAAAATTTTCTCCCAAGATTTATCCTGAAAATCATGTAGTCGTGGAACAATACATTTCGAAGAGCTATACGAGTTTTTTGAAATTTTACCACACAATTTGCTAAGTAAATAAAATATGGTAAAATTTCAGAAAACTCTCGTAAAGTTGTTTTACACGATTTCCAGGGTAAATTCTAAAAGAAACTGCTCTCCGTGCGTATTTCAGAGAAAATGATCAACCTTGAATTGTCGCGTTCGTAAAAGGGCGCATGTTGAAAGGAGGAGTCCTCGATGAAAAATCTACTCACCGAGGAGCTCGACGGTACGTGAGGTCTGCCCAACGAGATGTTAGGCATGGACGGCGAACTGAAGAGCGAAAGATCCGAGAGGCTGCCCTGTTGACTACTGCTGGTGAGACGTCCCCCATACGCCGGATTTTCACCCTCCTGCAACGAAACAGAGCGAGATGTCCCGCGGTGAATTTTCGCGGCGCGCAAGGAGGCAAAGCGTAAAACGGTACTGTCGATGCTTACCTCCTGTATCGCCGTGTTGCTGCCAGCGGTGGGACTGGCTTGAGAATTGTTCACGGTCGGTGGAGAGTTAGGCCCGGACTCGGGATTGCTGCCAGGGTCTGAAAAACGTACAATTAGTGCGTCGGGGCCGGGCGTGAGGGGCGCAGGGAGGAACAGTGTTCGTCGTCGCGCGATAGAACAATGTAACGCGGAACAAACGGATGATGATCGGGCCCGGAAATCGCACGCGAGATCGCTGGTCGCGAGGACGACGGACGTACTCGATGATGCACCGGAAACGAACCGACTTCTCCGCACCCGCCGGTGTGTGACGCGCGCGTGCAAGTTTCCACTGCGACGACCCATCGGGGAAACCGGTCCAAGACCGGCGTTCAAAGGCGTGTCCAAAAGCGGCCCTTTGGACGCCACCCGTTCCGTCGCGCTACTCGGGGGAGCCTCGTCAGCGGCGGCTCGCTCAAATGCTCCCGCGGACAGTTTTAGCGCTAATTTACATATGTTAATCAGAGAGTAGGCTCGCTCATGCCGTTACGGAAGAGTGAGTAGCAAACATCCAAAACTCAACAGTCGATTAATCGAACACTCGGGGTTGCGGTAAGAGATAGGGCAGAATGAAAGAAAGATATATGCTATAATGTTGGCGAGTGCTCGCGCGGAGAGGAAAGTGGAGAGAACTCTCGTTCTAGGATACTCTAGAGTAGTTCTCTTGAAAAGAGCTCGCGCACGCGCGTGTATATGTTTTTGAGTATGTGTGGGTGTGTGTGTGTGAGAGAGAGAAAGAGAGAAAGAGAGCAAGAGAGAGAGAGAGAGGGACATACTTGCTAATAACGACTTCCGCTTGAGGTGCGACGTCAGGCGGTCCTTCCGGCGTGTCGTCAGGGGTGAGTTTCTCGATGCCATGTTCCTCTCCAAGCGCTGTTTTAGTCGCACCTTCAGCAAGTTCGGCTCCGAGGCTGGCCAATTTTTTCAGCCGGTTGTTAGTTGGTCATTGTCATACCGCGGGGGGGGGGGGCGAGGGGGTGGGGCGGGGAGGAAAGGGGACGGAAGGCAAGAACGCGAAGCGGTACGAACCCCGGAGTCTCGCGTTCGCTCGCTCGTATTATCGATTTATCGGCGTTCGCGGTATCGCGGAAGAAGATCGCGAGCGGGATTCTATAGGACCTTCACGTGACACTCGCCTGGACGGAAGGGCGAATAATTAATGGCACGCGCGATTTACAGGTAAAGGGTAGAAGTCACCACGGCCAAGTGACCAAATGTCACTGTGTCGCGGCGATTAAATATGAAAAAATGACGTGGAGAATGAGCGATAATAAATTTAATAATGTTGACGTCACGTTTGCAAAAGTATTGTTTATTAATTCGTTTCTATTAAAACGGAAGTCAGGCCAAACAGTCTGTGACACATTGAGTTACTAGTTATTTCTGATCACGAGATACGTAGAGGAAAGTCCACCTATTAGGTTTCTAATATATGAGACAGCAGGTTTTCAGCACCCGCATTCAATAAAAAATCTCTTTTTGCAACGATCACACAACGTAACGGTGAATTTTCCACTAAACAGACTGCGCTCCAAGGGCAATAAATTCGTAGTGGAATCAACCGATGATGCCTATTAATTTAACAGAAGCCCCGCTATCCCATATTAGGATCCTATCTCATAATAGGGGACTGTCCTCTACATTCTTCCCTCCTCCTTCTCTGTAATCTAGAGAAGAGTATTTTCGATACTCTCTGACTCCTCGATTATCCGAACGAAGCTCTCATGTGAGATAATGAGGACGGAAGTTTTTTTGCACGGCAAAATTACGCAAGGCTTCAACTTGTGCTGAACGATAAGAGAAGCGATCTAATTTTAGGGTTGCACAATTAAAATAGAAAGTAAAAAAATGTCTAAAATTGTTATTATTCTTGCAAATACTGAAACTTTTGTATGTAATTACAGAGATATATATAAAATTACACGTGTGTAAAATGAAAATGCCAATACGGTGCCGGCAAAGTGTGAGAAATTAAAAAATATTTCAAACACTGTTCAAAAGTCCGTTTCATGCCTTATTTAATATTTTTTCTTAATTTGAAAATTAAGGCATTGTATTTAGGTCGGTTGTAGTTGGCGTTGTTCAATTTTAAGAAAACGAATTACGAGCAATGAATAAGATAATAAAGACACAATCGGTGATCTTGAACTTTTGACCAGCAGTATGCAGGATACGAAAAAAATCAGTAATTTTATTTTTATCTATCATTATATATTATCGCTACACTTCTCATACAAAAAAGTTTTCCGTTGAAGAATATTAAAGTACGAACCAGTAAATTTTTTGTTTCTCTTTTAAGTTCAATCCTTTGTTCGTTGTATCGAAAAGTTCGAAAAATTCTTCGCAGATCAAGGCTGTGCCTAAATTTCCAGTTTCTCATAAAACTGTTTTCAGTAATCGTCAAAATTTAGGGCGATTCCGTATAAAAAATAAATCGAATATGTAGAATAAAATGTTTTCTGCGACGCTAAACGGTAACTTTTGAGGGGACAAGCCGTATCGCTTCCTCGCCATGTTGCAAGTGTTTTTTTCCATGTTTACGGACATACACTGCACACGTTAGCACCTTTTTCATAAATAAACGTGTATCGGTTAAGATAATACGTTACTTAGCGATACGTTACTCGCTGGCCAACTGGCCAATATAAATTACAAGCTGCAGACATTAAAGTGAGCCAGCGAGCTTATTACTCAATTCCTTTTTTATTTTCATTAAAGCCAGACAGACGTAAAGTGTCACGTGAAGAAGGGACAGATATTCGCAGAGACTAATTGGAGATTCGCCTATAATTAATTTGGAGATGAAACGCGACGTGTCGATTTGCCAATTGCATGGCATTGTCCGCGGATAATCCGAGCGAACGAATCTTGTCGAGGAAAATCATCGCCTTTCTTTATATTCTCGGATAAAATCATGATGAAAGAAAGCAAACATCGCGTCGACGCGTAAGCTGTTTTTCTGGGACTCAACTCGTTTCTCGAACATCGAAACACCATGCTTTAGTAGACATTCTATTGGCACACAAACTACCTGTACGAAATATGCATGAGTTAATTGGCACATCTCGGAGCAATTACCTGTCTTCCTGAGCGGGAAATCGTCGCCGAACTTCTGGAGCAACTGCGGCATTTGATATGGATGGGCCGCATTCGTGGTGCTCGATGATTCCGATTGCGGTTGCAGCCTGAGGGAAAGTAAAACCGTGCTGATAAATACTGATTGATCAGTTTGACGAATAAAATTATAGTTATTTTCTTGCATCCAGATTTTTGCCTGCTTTCTGACGTACGATTTCTTAGTTTAAAGTAATATAACGTTTGCAACGTCATTATAATGTAAGTACATAATAATGTACAAATTTTATATGATGTACTGAATGAGTTGTTGAAACAATATTAAAATTTTGAATTTATTTACCGAACTAAATACTATTCTCAAAAGCATCTTCTCTTCGCCAGTGAATAATCGAATGGAAATAAAATTGTTATTCGACCCAGCTGACTATGAAATTTCCTTTATTTTAAAAACCACGTTTCGTCCATGGGTCTCGAGCGTTTTCAAGTTTACAAATTTGATATGGTTACGCCATTCGTATAAAAATGAAATGTAAAATACAACAAATAAATCGTTGATTGATCAATAAGTAGATGGAATAAGTGCTTACACGGATTATACATGTAATAAAATTGCAGTTATAATTCGCTTTACGTGCTTAGATATTGATGGCGATCAAGCTTGTAAACTTGAAAAGAACTTGTGGCCAAAACGTCCTTTTGAAAATAAAGGAAATTTCATAGTCAGTTGCGTCGAATAACAATTTGATTTCCGCTAAATATTATCATCTAATTTGCATACGACTTGTGGTATTATTTTCCCAAACTGGAGACAATACGATTTCTCGAGAACTTGGGTGAAAAAAAATATACCTTTCGAGTATCGCGTGCACATGTTTAAGACGAAGTTATCATTGGCAGAGACAAGGAAATAATGTCGAGAGCACATTGGCGGTTGCTAAATGGATAACTGGGCCAGGTTGTGCTATTACCGTTACTTCGTCGGCGGCGGAGAAGGCTAGCGACGACAATCGCGACGACCCATTAGAACCGAAATGACGTGCAAATTTCGATTTGACGCGTCCTACAGACGGATGCTCCGTCTGATCGGAGCATCGAGAACAATGCAACTTGTTTTAACTTCAGTTATCGAAAGTGGAACGATATAAGGAGCGTTCTATTTCGACTTGCTCGCGCTCGAAGAGTGTCTTTTTCCGTCTCGCTCAGATTTACGAGGATTTCCTCAAAATGTACCAGAGTTCCATCATTTCGTTCCGCTCCACCTCTCGCGTATTCTTTAATCGTGCCATCTTACCACCTGTATCCTGGCGTGCCGGGTACTGCTCCGTTCGCCGCGGCAGCCGCCTCTCTCTGCTTCTTGTTCACCAGGAAAGTCTGTAATCGTAAGCGCCTCGTAAACAGAGAATTATAGGATTCGCGTTAAATTCAGAACGCGTGTCGCTCGCACGCCAATTCGTTACATCGATTCTGACTGAACGGACTCGTAAACGGCTGACTAACATTGCTTCCTCGATTAATCGAAGCTTCTTTTCAACACGAATCGAGTGCCACTTTACAGAAAAATGAGAAATGAAAGCTCATAAAATTTGCCCGACCAACTTGTCCATGCGCTTTTCTTTATTTTCGACCATCGAGCGTTACTTATAAAAGTTATAAACCAATACTTCGTGATTAATAACGCTCAATATGTGAGACTCAAGAGGCAATCCCTCGCTATTCCCTCGTGGCTGAGAAATGCTAGAAATTTCTATTTCGCGTCCAACGGCAGAGGAAGAGATCGAGACTTACGTGAAGACGTTCCTTGACTTCTGTGGACGCGTTCGCGCTGTGATCGTGCTTGTCCTTCTTTCTGAGGGCCTCGAGCCTTTCCTTCTCTCGCCTCTGCTCCTCCATCTGCTTCTGCTGCTCCCAGAGCTGCGGCAGAGATAAACTTTTAGAAACTCATTTTTTTCTCCCGTGGACTCTTTCATCCCGAGATCATTATGGGATGCAAACAGGGATGAAATCGGAAAGAACATTCGCCGATAACCGGCCTCCTGATTATACCTCGATCGAAATTAGAGTCCGAGGACAAGGGTCTGCGCGTGTTACAGGAGATATTAGGAATAGGAATAAATATTAAATTTGCTTAAAGCCAGTGCTGGAACATAAATATTTTGGATTACGACTGTGCGACACAATTCCTACATTTATTAATTTTATTCTTTTTCATACGCGCTATATTTAATCTTTCTTTCCTTTCTCTTTTAACATTTCATATTTATTCCCGATATTTCCTCCGTTGTGCGCAGAGCCTAACGTAATTGCGACGGTGCTCGCAAGGGCAGTATTTATTCAGATCCGATCCCCCCCCCCCGCCCCTCGGAAGCTACGTTTTAATTTGTTTAATCCGGTAACTGCGCGCGTAACTCACACAGCTCGAACAATCATCGTCTGTAAATGACGCAAACCGTGTCCCCCGAGTTATTATCGGCGGCTTTAGCTCGATTACGAGACGCCACGCACAGCTGCTGCATCAATGGCCATGGGATTCAACAATGGTAATTTTCCATACGTTATCTCGCACCCGCTTTCCTCGCATGGAAGATACCGCGTTTTCAAAGTTCACGCCCGGAACCTCGTGCAACGAAACCGACTACCGGCAATATATAGTATATTCCATAACTGTTTCTCCCTCCGATCCACATGCTGAGCGAGATTTTCAATTTGCTGCCATAAAACTCAACTTTCCAGAAATAACAAGACGAAAAAGAGTCACACGTGCGGTTTCAATTTAACTTCTGTAGGGACGCGCCATTCGCGAGAATTACAAGAGATGAGAACGCACTGAGAGACATTTTCGTTCGCAACGAAATACAAGAATACAATAAAGCAAAAACGAAGTACGAAGACAGCTTCATCGAATTCAGAACAAGAAAAAGAAGGGTCAGTGAAGATTATTGGCGATATTATTCGCATTGCTCCGAGATGTATCAATGGATATCACGGGGAAAATACGAGCGCGGGCAGAGGCCTTTGTTTAATTGCAAATCATCAAGGAAGAAAACAATGAAAATTGAGACGTGACGTTAGGGTGTAAAATACACCCCGCGCGAGTAATTACGTAAAAATGGAAAAAAAGAGGCACGCAAGTAACGTCAAGCTAATCTAATCGCGCATCACATAATCTTTCCCGCACGATAAACACTTTCCCTTTCTCTCTCGCACGTCCCCTCTCTTTTCTCCCCCTTCCTCCTCCCCCCGTCTCTGCCTCGCCCCCCTCCTTTCTCGTATTCGTGCACGCATACCAGGCTCGTCGTATGGAACAACAGTCGCGAGAATAAAATATTTATTAATAGTCGCCGCCGAATAATAACACATTGGCGTCAATAAAAATCGCGTCTTACTTCCGCGAAAAGTTACCCTCCACCTCCCCCGTCTTTCGGGTCTCGCGATATTCCCGCTGCGGAAAACGAAAAGTCGCGTTCCCGGAGTTCATCGACATCGAGCCACGCGACCGTGGGCTCTATTACTCTCCGCTCTGGCATCGCTCTCGTTCGCGGCGCGTCTCGTTATTCGCCAATTAATATCCGCTACGCACGTGGAACGCTCGCCGTCTCTAACGAGGACGGCCGCTCTCCTCCGCGCGGAATCGCTTTCTCGCCCTCGTGTTCTCGTATCATCGATTTCAGCCGGTACGCTGTTATTAAATCTCTAAAGTGGGTAAATGAACGGTTGAGCAAGACCACTTCGTCCCCGATCTCATCTTTTGTCATGTATACTTTTAACGCGAGTCACAATTTTATGTGTAAAATGTATGCACGTAATTTGCATTAAACGCGATGAAGAATATATGCGTGCTATTCAATATTAAATATGCAGGGTGTTGTGTAATACCCGCCTCACCTCTTATTTGCGGATAGAGCGGACTAGACCGAGTCGAAAAGTCCTCTGCCATTTTGCAATTTTCGAAATAGTTTACGAGCTATTAATTATAAAAAATCGCTGTCTTAGCCCGGCCTACCGCCCAATTATTACACGTAATCGTTGCCGTGTGTCATAAACAACTCCCCGCGCGTCTAGCAACGCCAATCGCGGGACGGCCGGATCACGTCGCGCGCTTGGATTGGGCGGTAGGCCGGGCTAAGACAGCGACCTTTAATAATTAATAACTCGTTAACCATTGCGAAAATTGCAAAATGCTACGGGACTTTTCAACTCAGTCTAATCCGCTCTATCCGTAAATAAGAGGTGAGGCGGATATTACACAACACCCTGTATACGCAATAAAAGGTTCGATGTAACAACAGTGACATAGCAGAATGGCTTAATAGGAAAGTCAATCTTAATATCGAGAGAAGACTGCAGTATTCCAGTCCTGCAGTTTTAGTCTTTCGAAAAATAACTTTACTATTTTGTACGTCATGACAGATTTCACATTTGTGAATAATAGACGTTAAATGATACGTTTGTTCCATTATTCAACCAACATAACTTGTTACAGCACAGAAATAAAAAACCTCTTTGGCTCTTACGAGGGATTTTTGCCTACTCGACTTTACGAATGCGTGTGAATGCGATAGAAGCAAGACGTAAATCTTTCTCCGAGCGATTCCGTAATTTTTATCTGCATAAATTGTGCATAGAGCTTTATTCTAATGCATTGTTCGTAAATTTATTACCAGGAAGGAAATTACTTCACTCTCGATTACATATTGGCTGAATGCGTAACGGCAGAATTCTTTTTCACCGTTGGACGCAGTGCAATTGATACCGTTGCGTTTAACATTTTCCGTCGACCTTGTCGTTAGTGATTGTGCAGTGCTGCGAGAATCACGCCTCGTCCGCTTATGGCCCGTGTCCGCGAACTTGGTCCAAGTTCTAGCATCGTGGACGCAGGACTTTAGTCACGAGGCTCGGCAACGTGGCCGAAAGAAAACGCCGTGATCGCGACGGCTAATAAAGTACGGTGCGCCAACAAAGCAACTCGGAACGGCTCGCCCGTTGTGTACGGTCGCACAATCAGCGCGCGCAATCCACCTGCGAGACCAGGAACACCTGTGCACACCTGTTAACACCTCTTGCGCTTCAAACACCGCGAGGCGGAAGTGACGTCGGCACGCGCCACAGGTGCACCGTTGTGTGTTTACGTATCTCGGCTGCCGAAAATAGCGTAGACATTACGAGAGATCGACCAAAGTGCGAGCGAGTGAGTCAACACTTCCGCGCGCGCGACGGGGCCCACTTCGGGATCCGGAGGGTATTCGAAGAGGAGAAAAAGGAAACGTTGGGACGAGAGTAAAACCGAGAGAGTGTCTCGTCTGTAAATTCGTTCAGAAGAAGTTTCGATTTTACTCGGAGATCGAGACGGAATTTGTGCGCTGAGTTTCACTCGAATTCGTTCTCACTCGATTTTGAATTTGAAACGTCCAGTTCTATGTATGCGACAGACAGTAAAGAGAGCACGTGCTATTTTAGGAAAAAAATTTACGATTACGTTATATACAGATTGCTTGCGAATATAAAAATAAATGAGAAATACTAAGGCCCGATTTCACCAACGTCGCTTAACTTTAATCTTAGTTTAATTCGTGTTTGCCTCTTTCTAAAGCAAGAGTTGGAAAGAGACGAAAAACGAACCAAACTGAGCTTAAAGTTAAGCGACGTTTGGTGAAACCGGGCCTAAGCTTCGTAGTATAATGTATTGTCCTTTTTGTGCCAAAGCCATGTGCGAATTTTCATGAAATAGTTAAATTTAAGCCTGGAGTAAAAACTGGAAGTCAATTTTTACCTCAGACTTGAATTTAATTATTTAACTATTTTATTATTTTGTGAAGATTTGCGCATTCACGGTCTTGGCATAAAAGGGATCGTGTGCTTTAAAGATTTCGTATATGTAAAATAAATATGGTAATTGTTAAATCTTCACGCGATGCAATCTTTATACGCCCTTTCTCTTGCAGATTTCATTGGAAGAATCCAACTATTATTAATGACCTCGCAGTTATCGCATATCTTTCAAAGTTATAATCTTTGGATGCTAGATTTTCGACTGACGAGAGAAATTGCAATTCTTAATATTTCAGTGCGCCACGTGATAAAAGTTACAAACAATATATTGTTAATTCTACAATAAATTCTCTACGTGTTCGAATTAAAAATAGAAACGTTTGAATAAAACCTTAAAAGAGATTTCGTAGTAGCTCATACGGTTACATTTCTATACATTTTACGTGGAAACGAGGATGACAGCAAACGACAGCAAAGCAGACCCACATTTTCCCTGATTAAAAATAATAAAAGTCTAACAAAGGAGGAACGTTTCTCTTAAAAGGCGCGTGACAACATATTGAATGTTTGATGAAATAATTGGAAATGGAAACTGATAGAATTACTAAAAGATCCGCGTAATAAGATTCGCTCGCTCAGTTCATATACTATTCCAAACCTCCAAGTTTCTAATGCACAACTACTAACGGATATTAACAATGGACGGATGTTTACTCGGCCAATTTTCATCTACTCGGATTCTAATTGGACCGAGCCTTATTCACAATGCGTAACAACAATGCAGTTGCGTACGTGAGAAACTGACAAGATTAACTCCAAGTCGCATTATTCGAAAACAAGTTTCACGCGTGTGTCTATTTTAATTTATTATACCTCGTTTCGTCCATGAATAGTAATTTTCTATAACGAATATACGCGATGTTACATGTGCGAGATTATACGACGCGACGAATCCATGCATAATGAACGATTAACGAGCTTCACGGCGTATACGCGCTATACGATGCGGAAAGATTATCGATTTGCAGAGCTCTCGGTACACGCGCGAAAAAAATATTTAACGCAAACGAACATCTTGACAGAGATAAGATATTTCAACATCATTGAGAGAACGCGCGCTTAGGAAAGTTTACAAAAAGGCTCTTGCATTCATAAATTTACGACTCGAAATTCAACAGGGACCCGACTCAGGAGATTTCTACGATTCGATATTAAGACATATCCTGCCTTCGCGAGAGAAATTTAACACCCTTCGGCGAATGTCTTTCGGTTCGTCGCACGCGCGCGGTTTGCTTTCATCCTTTGGAAAAATCGTTGTCCCCGTTTCTATTATATGCAAAACGATAGACAGTTATTCTGGACTGCCATCAATTCTCGATTGTTGTGTCCGGTGTCAAAATGCACTCGCGTCACAGCTGGCAATTAAAATGTACTGTGATTTCAGGAAGGAGGGAGAGGGAGAGGAGAGGGAGAGAGAGAGAGAGGGAGGGAGAGCCTAGCCAGCCGAGGATCGCAGGATTTCACGGTGACGCGAAGCGACGCGGCACGGCGCGATGCAGGCCAGTTTATTTTCACGATCAACCGTTATTGTTATTATCGCCTTCGTGACGCACGTTACGCGCTTCGCCGACAATGAGAGGAATATTCCGCTGGACTTTCGACTAGAGAGAAATAGAGAGAAGCGGAAAGAGAATGGGCGAAAAAGAAAAGAGGGGAGAGGAGAGAACAAGGAAGGGAGAAAGAGAGATGGGGAGGAAGGGGAGGGGTGAGGGAGAGAAAGAGAGAGAGAGAGAGAGAGAGAGAGAGAGAGAGAGAGAGAGAGAGAGAGACGCACGAGATATTGCTAAAGAATCGCTAAGAACAATGACAGGGATGAGAGGCAAGCGTCGGGTAAAAAAAGAGAGAGAAAAGATTCCCTCTCTATTACGGGCAAATAATGAGTAAAACAAGCTGTCGTATTCTGTTGCCGCGAGCATTACAGCGAGTAGTGATCGTCACTCGAAGAGCGATCGTCTGAATCCTAAGATAAAACCGTGATGGCAGGGCGGCACAGTGCGCGGGGTAGGCGACGTATCAGCGAGTGATCGGTTAAAAAATATCGACTCGCGATTCATCTTCTCGTTACATTACAGATTACGCGGAGGAGGTAATAATGATGACCTACGACGGAGAGCCGATTGTCCGAACAATCCGAAGAGGTTCTTCTCTACACTGGGGGTTCACAAGGCGACCGTCCAGAGTAATAATCAGGGGTGGTCTATCCTCGGGGAGGTAGGCATAACTAATGCGCGTCACGTAATGACTTTCGGGTGAGGAGACGAGGCCAGATTCGAATCTGGGACCTTTTCCTTGTGACTGCTCTTCCTGCTACTCAGACCCTCTTTGCCTGCCTATTCTATTGCACCGAATAAAACAAGGAACAACGCGACTCTAAAACAATGTTTGGTTTCACCCAGTTGTTTAGCAGACCATATGCAGACGCATTGCTCTAATGAACCGAAAATCTGGGTCGAATCTTCCCGAAAATTATAGGTTTTTGCCTGTTGTGAATTCGGTTGCTTGCACTGAGTTCGCAAGACTTGTTTGCAGCCAATTCTTATATTTAAGGATCATCTTAAAGTTATCATTTTTAAACAAAGGTATTTTGCTCTTATACGATTTTCAAAGATCAGTCCCCCCGATCATTATAAACATTTTAATGGAATCTCTTGACAATAAAAAAAGAGGTCGGACTTCTATTCTACGGGCATTTTTATAAAGAGGATAACTATGAAATATAATCGGCGTGTAAGTATAAAGATATTAATGAGATTAGTCTTACCTTTAGTTGATGCATCTGGTGCTCGTGCATTTCAGTCAGTTGTCGTTCCTGGGCATGGTATTGCTGCCGGAGTATCTGCTGTTGAAGCTGATGGTGCTGCTGTAGCTGGAAACAGATCCAGATATCTCAAGGGTAATGCAACATCTTTAGCTGAAAACTAGAATAATCAAAAGGTATCTAAGGGTAGGGTAACCAGTTTTCGCAAGCGAAATATAATCGACAAGTCACGCACACATCTCTTCCTTCAACTGAAATCGTCACTGAAACCATTCCTGTCCGCGACATATTTTTATCTATCCTGCAGTATAATTTATAGTAGGCACTTATTTTTTTTTCGATTCGCCCACGGTGAAGAATAAAGGAGAGTTCGATAAAAAAAAAGGGAACAAATGGAGATGCAGATTTATGCACAGAGCTTTTCAATATGTCTCTGAATAAAAGCTTTTGTCGCGCACGTCGAGTGGAAATGCGAAAGTACGCGTAGCGCTGCCGGTGCCAGCGCAAAGTTTCACGCCAGCATGGCGCGCATCCGACACGTTTAATCCAATTCACCGTGTCTCTCGAATGTTTTTCGTTTGTCGTTCGTCGCGCACGTGGGCGACTTCGAGTCGCCTTTTCTCAGAAGGAAATGCGTGGGCTGCTGACACAGAGACAGAGACCAAAGCGATTTTGCCCAATTGGTTACGTCCGCGAACAAACGGACACGCTGTCACGCGATTCCCGTGCACGCGTTGCACCTTTTGCGAGCAGGCATCAAAAATCGAATGCGATACCGCGTCCGACTTGAAACAGGAGTTGCGTCGGTCACAAGTTTTATAATTAACCGGACAAGATTCTAAAACTTGGTCGGTTACAGGCGAGACAGGATTCTCGATTAACATTCCCTGAATTGGGACCTACGTGTAACTCCCGTCTTTTAAAAGTTAGAATAGAAGGGAACGAAGGGTCCAATGCCCCCATGACCTCAACACAAAATTTGTGAGAGCAGATCTTTAATCATTCTTCTTGATCGGCCATTCGGAGGCGACGATGTTGATGGTAACGTAAATCGTTGAACTTAAAAGTCAACGCGTATAATTTTCAAAATCATTAAACCGAACTCACTTTAAAGTAATATTCTCAAATACAACGCGCGAGAAAGATTTGCAAATACGAAACATTCGAGTCTCTCACCGTTAATGCGACATGAACTAATGAATTTAATATCAGATCGTCGATCAGACTGACAGTTGAACATCACTTTGTCACTATCTGTCGCCGTCATCAATTCTACATATTAATTAAAGCTCGTCGATCCTGAAATTTTCAAATGGATTACAATATATTACCGAGGACTATCAACAAATTATATTGAAGTATTGAATTAACCGGCTCGAGAAGGGAAGAACTATGAGATGAATTTCACCGAACAATGCAGAGCGAGGATCCTCGCATTTCTTATGCCTCCGAGCGAGGGCCCGAGCGAGGTCCCGAGCGAGGGTCCGAGCGAGGGTCCGATCTCAGGATGGAAAGGCGCTCTTCGGATTACGGTGCTTGCAGTTACGGTAGGCTTCGGGATTTATGTCTTGTTGTTCAAAAAGAAGGATTCATCTAGCGGTAGGTGGAGCTTTCGAACTCGAAGGGCTCCAATCGAGCGGACCTTAGGGACAACAAGAGGGACTCCAATCGAGCAGACCTTACGCACAACAAGAGGGACTCCAATCGAGCAGACCTTACGCACAACAAGAGGGACTCAAATCGAGCCAGACGACATTTCGAGAGACACATTTACCGAAATAAAAGAGCTCAGGTACAAATTATTTTCGAGAGAGAAGCGCGCCACCTCGACGCGTTTCCTATCGTTTTAAATTAAATATAATCTTTTCACGAGAAGTCTCCAAATGATGTGTGCCGATCACATCTGGACAATGTTATGCAAAAGTGCACATTTTACCGAAGCTAAACGCAAGAATGTTGAATCTTACTTTAACGCATAAATTCATGTTTGCTACAATTCGCTTTATTTAACAATATCTTTCCTTTTTAACACGCCAGTTAATTTATTTCCGCTTAATGTAATATTTACTTCGTGTCCACTACACTCGTGGATATTTATGCTGGCTATTGGCCCAGATGAAATAATATATTACAACTTACATTTTGCAATCCTCGGGACGAAAGCAACGTGTAAAATATACATATGTGTGCGCTATTGTTTTCTTGGCAGCGACGACAGATCCATAGTGACATACAACGGTGAGATTTGCCCGATTTGCTTGGGAGTACCGAAGATCGGCGTGAGAGCTCCCTGCGGTCATTCGCTGTGTGCGGAATGCCTGGCGAATTATTGCGATGTTAGAATCACACCTGCGCCACCACCCTGCCCATTATGCAGAGCGCCGTTAAATTCAGTGGCCCTGACCTGCGACTTTGTTAGTATAATACATGTCACTTCCACTAGTTTCGCCAATGAGAGCGATAGCGAGTCCTACTGGCCGAAATGTACAAAATGCAAAAATAAGAGATAAGCAAAGGAGGAAGTGTAGACAGTATTCCCCCAATAGAGAAAAGTTTGCCTTATTAAGGTCTGTGTCCACGATGCCAGTACTTGGTCCAAGTTCTAACATCGTGGACACAGGGCTTTATTCTATAGAGTTTCGCCCTAACTGATAGCTATAGGCACGATGGCCAAGAGAGTGGTGCTTTTTTATTTTTACATTTATTTTCGAGTATTCCTCATCTTCTCTTTACGCTTCAAAACTACGCGAAAATATTTATACACAAAAGAACTGTGTTACGTTGATTTGATTACAGGCCATCCTCGGTTCCAAAATGCTAGACCCGAACACCGTTATGGTGGTGCAAGACTGGATACGCGAGTACAATAATCATCAAGGCATAGTGACGTCGGTACGGCCGTTTCTGACGACGCGACTTGCTCTTTTCTTTAATATCTTGACTCTCTTTCTGATTGTCGGATTGATCGCCGCGAGACTTCAGGTTTTTGCGGAAATATAAATTTTTTAATTCTTACTACAAAAAGGTATTAGTGTAGTCAGCAATAAAGAAGGAAACACGCGTTTGTCGTTACACGTCTTTTTCGAAGTAACGAATAATAGTATACGCTTCGAAAAATATTTACCGCCGTTTAGTGTCTAAGAGTAAGAAACAAAAAAAAACGAGAGAAATAATAAGGCACACGAGGCATGATAACGATGGCACTAATATCCGATTCGACGTATACAGATAATGTCTTGGGAGAACTGAACGTCGGTCGCTTAAATTACCGATATCGATAATTGTGTTAATTATGTGAGCCTAGTTCAAGAGCCAAGGTTAGTTACAAGGCGAGCGAATCTAAATTATCGGTACGCCTCAGATTGTTACCGTTGGTTTGCATAATTCTTGAAATTATATTACACTGCTAAGTATACGTCAATATTAAAAAATGTCCTCTATTCTTTTTTAATTATTCATCGCATTTTTTTCTCGTTTTCAGAGAAAGCTTTAGGCAAATTCTTCTGAAGGGAACAATCACTTGTGAATCATGCAAAAGCTAAATTCTCCAATTAGTACGTAACATTTTTTTAAATCACTGTAATCACGAGACACGGTAGAGTCTCGCGCCAAGTGTGTATTTCGTGAGGGAATAATTGATTTGTCGGTGAAGTCGATACGCCGATGAATCGACCCGAACAAGATGGCAAATTAAGCAAATTTTTTGATCGCTTTTCTCCGACCTGCTTTACTTATCTAAATGTACGATGTAAATATAAAAATTGATATAAAATGTGTATAAACGAGTTTGTATGTCTTTCGCGTACTGTCCACGAATAGTACGTAATTTTAATGAAATCATACAGTACACAACGCAAATATAAACATCACAATATTTGCATTTTGTCTCTATTTCGTAACAAAAATTTTGTAAAATCAGATAATGCAACATCAAGATAATATTTTATAACGGTACGTTCTTAACTTTCAATATTAAAACTTGAGCTTTGGAAGTTCTAACAGCAATGCAGAGAAGTGATCGTTTGCGGATGCCGATCGTCACGGAAATACCGATTGACATTTTCGTAATCTATTTTCCGAAAGGACCGCGCAATTTTCTTCAAGTTTTATCTTTTAGATAATTAAAACTAACTTTTAATTTGTGAGTTAGCCCAAAAATTGTAATCTGGACTTTCTAACAAATAATGTAACCATAACTGCACGCTTTTCGTGTAATATACGTATGATAATTACAGAATAAAAATATCCGTAAAAGCAATAAAATTACCAAGCACGTGCAGGCTCGTGTATGCAAACACACACAATAGTTTACTGAACTCGGCTAGTTAACAATTATAATAGCTGACTTAGATTATACTTTGTTATAGATGTGGAGGCATTAAATCCACGTGTACAAATATTAGCAACAAAATCAATATCGTGAACTCTATAAATGTTCATCGAATAACGGTGCGACACGAGGCGCAAATGGCGCGTTAGATTAATTCGCGTCGCCGCATATCAATAGTATTGTGAATTCTGTCGCGGAAATACTCGGCGATAAAGTAATCGCGCCGTTCGAGCGGCGCGTGGGCAATCGAATTCTATTCGCCGAACGAGCGCATTACGGCGTGGTTCGAGATTTTCGCCGGAGAACGATCGCGACATCCAACTGACACCCGTGACGGAAGATCGAAGTCAAATGCGCCGGCGCACGTAATTTTGATAACAAGTTTCCCGAAAGGAAACTCACGCCAGGAAGGTTCGAATTGATTATTCATTATTTTACCATTCGAATTTATTTCTATTAAATTAATCGAACGACAAAGGCTTTTATAGCTACCGAAAAAGACTATTTTAACTGTGAATTTATTATGAAATCTACCATCGCAATAAACTGTTAAAATAATACGTGCGCAGCATATGGTGTTGCTGCATTTTAACTTCTGGCAATACTTTTTACCATGGGGTGAGAGGGGAGAGAGAGAGAGAGAGAGAGAGAGAGAGAGAGAGAAGCTGTTATTTTCATCGATCTGATCAATGAAGTGAAATGCTTTTCCGTCATGCTCGCTTATCAGAAAGTAAGCGAGAAAAATGACATCGAAAAATCGAAAAAAAAAAACTCTTACACATGTATTTATTTCGTATAAAACAGTAAAAGATCGTGACGACTTCGTTGAGAGGAAGGGTGTGCCGTTAAAACTAAATATATTCAACTAATGCTAAATTAACGCTACGCTAATTGTGCAATGTTTATTCCCACTTTGCGCTTACATTTACGAGAGCTGTCCGTTTTCACTTTCAGACGGCGCTCGAATCGCAACGGAATACCGCAGCTGCGGAATATCGCGTATAAGGGATAAATTTACTTTCCGGCGGGTTCTCCGCAGCATTAAACCTGGCCTTCGCGGAAATATCGACGTCCTTGAACTTAATTGCGATGTAACTAAAGCGCGCGCGATCGATCGAATTCAATCGAAACTCAGCTCGGCCGGCTGGTAATCTGAACTTCGCTATGTGTTCCGAGTAAATTTCTGTGATAGCTACACAGCCGTCGCTGTAATTCGTTTCAACGATACTCGCGAGGGAGGCACGGAATGCACGATACCTAGCTACTTAAGAACACGTCGTAATTTCGTTCACTTTTAGCCGAACAAAAATTCCAGCCTCTTTCTGCCGTTCTAAATTATACCGAGAAGAATATTCAAATGCCTCGTCTGTCTCGGCTGCTTTTACCACGAGGAATTTGTATTATCCATGTGTTTCTATGCTAATATAACTCCTTTTACATACGGAGTACAGGTGTACCGCAAAACGTTTCCCGATCACGTCTGAACACAGTCGCAGATTAAAAAATGTAAATATAATAATAACTACAAAAATATGTTGATTTCAAAACGAAACTGATATCACAGCAATACTGTCTGAAGTTCTCGGAGTGAAATTATCGCCGTTAAGGGGAATATTCACTCTGTTGGAGTGAATATTTACTCCATAGACATAGTAAATATAGACTGGAGCGTCCCATTGAATAAGCAGAAGCTTGCGAAGAGAGAGAGAGACAGAGAAGATTTAAGAAGACTTCCTTTCTCTGTCTCGCCATCTTTTCTTTTACGATGGTGTAAGACAGAGAAAGAAAGTCTTCTTAAATCTTCTCTCGCTCTCTTCACAAGCTTAAGCCAACGGCACACGATACTATTTTTCCTACCGGATTGCTTGCGAGAACCAATAAGGGTGCAGAGTTTTGGATCAGGTGACTTGAGGCTAAATCCTGATTGGCTCTCGTAAGCAATCCAGTAGAAAAAATAGTATCGCGTGCCGTTGGCTTTAGTCAATGGGACGCTCAGTCTGTATTTACTATGTCTATTATTTACTTCAACGAATATCTCACTTCATGGCAGTATTTTCACTCGAAAAATTTTAGAGTACCTCGCAAGAGACAGAGCGTACTTTCGTAGAAAAATTATCTCGCTTCCACGCGACGTGCAATATTCTGTTTGTCGTCAAATTGTTCACGAGGGATAAACAGCTGAGGGCATTGCGGTACACAGATTTGCGGTATTGCTAGGCATTCTAGGCCTCTTTTCGGTATTAGTGGGAGTTATTTGGAATTGCTGGAGTGTTACAAAGAATATAAAAGATAAAAAAGATAAAACAAGATAAAGTAATGCCCGTTTCATTTTATCTTGTTTTATCTTTACTGTCAAATTATTATGCATTAGTACACGGAAAAAAGAGTGGTGTTGTATCAACAAGATCAGTGTAATTGAAATAAAATCGTTGAAACAACATCAGTATTAAAAAATGAAAAACATCGGATTGTTGTCTTAATAATCTGGATATCGAGTTCAATGCTTAAAATTAAAATCCATAGCAAATACAATTGAGTGAAGTATGTATGTGGCAGCCCGTGACGTTAACGTTTAAGGTGGCTCCTGCCTAAACCGACCAAAAGTTAAAAAAAAAATAGAAATCTGAGTGTATTGTAGTTGTAAATTTTATCTATCAGTACGCGAAATTTCAGACCCGGTCGCTGATGAAATTAAATAAAGAAAACATGTTAAAGTTGTATCTTTTAACATTCTAGCAAATACCAAGTAACAGTTGCATAACACGAATATTATAATTTTCTACTCAACAAGATAAATGTAATATAACACCCGTGTTATATTACATTGTAATATAACACTCATGTTATATTACATTTCCATTGTTAAATAGGAAATTATAATATTGATATTGTGTAACTACAGGGTTGGGAAGTAACTCGTTACTTGTAAAGATGTTACTGTTACAGTTACTTTTTTTTGGGTAACTCTAACTTAACTTCGTTACTTTCTCTCCATCTGTAACTTAACTCAGTTACATTAATAGTTACTTTATATATTTTTTAAACCTCTACAGATCGCATTAGGTCTTGCATTTGCACATAAACACTTTTATCGACACTTAATATAATTCAAACGCAGATATTTTTATTTTCATTGCAAGAAGGTAACTGCAAAACGATTCGTTACTTTTCGAGTAACTGTAACGCGTTACTTTTCAGAATTGGTAACTTGTAACTGTAACTAGGTACATCTTTAGCGAAAAAAGCTGTAACTGTAACTGGATACTTTTATAAAGTAACTTTCCCAACCCTGTGTAACTATTACTTGGTGTTCACTGGGACGGGGGTTATGGGCCGATCGCTCGCAGAAGCACTTTGAGGGTTAATATTATTTTATAGAAAAAGTAGATCTTAACAAAAAACGAGATAAAAATAATAAATGTCACAAGGATTCAAATGTGCTACAAAGTATGTGAGGTCACCGACCTCTGCAAGCAAATGCATATTAGTAAAGTCAAAAGATACAATGTTTTGAGGAAATTTGACAGCTCTTTGAGACTTGACGACATCGCTTATTTTTAAATATGTTTTTAAATGTGCATATATAACCTAGCATATATATCAATGCATTTGATCAATAATGCATTAAGTGATATTTTTTTTATGAAAACAGTCTTATAAATTTATAAAAATCAAAGGGGCCCCACCAAAGCACCCATACTAACCGCTCCTTCGTGCAGGAGCCACCTTAATTCAAGCCACTTCATTTTGCTTAATTCAACAGCATTATTTTCCGTGTAGGCATTGGTGTAGGTACATGAGTTTGGTCTGCGGTTTACCTCTGACTGAAAAAAAAATTCGCTACCGTAGCTCATCATAATTTGCTAAAAATATTGTAAATTTCTAAGGCACAACAAACGATTTGCTGTTGCATCTAATAGGCACAGTAGCAAAATATTTAGCCGTCGCAGCTGAATATTAACAGCTGTCCATATTTTACAACTTTGGCTACCACAGGCAGGTTTTAGCTACATTTTGCGCTCTGCGAGCGTTCGCCTTGCCGACGTTTCGCGAGTTCCCCGCGAGTCACGCGGGGAATCCGACGATTTCGTCGGGGAAACGTCGACAGGGTGTCCAGCAAACTCAATGAACAAAATTCCCTGACTTTCTCAGGTTTTCCAGGAGCTGGAATTAATTTTTCCCTGACCGTTTAGTGTAACTATTTTCAAGATGCATAATTTGCGTACATTTGTATGGTAAATCAAGTAAATGTTAAATGACAAAGTCCTTGAAATATCTTTCTCGGGAAACGGAAGTCCGGGATTTAAAAAGACAAAAATTTAAATTAAAGCAAACACCATCTATGTATAATAACACGACGATGAAAATATAAATTACCGACCACGCTTATAAATAAATTGATGTTTAGCAAAACAGAAAACTAGTGTACCGAGAGCCAAAGAAAAGTTTATTTTCTAAAAACTTTAAATTATTCAGAAAAAAGTGTGAAACGATGTAAAAAAAATCCAGATAAATCGTAAAATTTCCAGATTTCTCAAATTCCCTGACAATTCCCGACTTTCCAGATTACCCTGACCACTGGACACCCTGGTAGATTAGCGCACAACCTTTGGCGTGTGTCGTACTTACCTCCAATTACATATGACGTTACATTTACGCCAAAGCTTGTGCGCTATCTACGTTTACGCTTGCGTCTTTGTCGTAAGCTATTGCGTTGCCTTGATCTCCGACCCTAGCATTCGGTATGAAATCGCCTTGCGCGCTGGTGAAATTCGGTTGTACGTTACCTCGAGTAGCTTCTGCTGCAGCGCGTGGTTGTGCAGGACGCCGGGTTCGGTGGCTGCCGCGTGATAAGCGCCGGAAGTCAGGGTGGCAGTGGCCGCGCCTCCTCCGCCGCCGGCGCCCAAATCCCGCGGTCGCGGCATCGGCGAGCCCGGCGTGTCCCTGGCCATCTCTACGCACATGTAACAACAACAATACACATCCGATAACATGCCTCGGTGGGCGCCGCCACCGCCGTGCCGCTGGTGGTCGATCGTCCCGTGATGCTGATGCGCACCGATGATCTTTACGCCCGAGCTTTCCGCGCGCGGATACCGATCGAACGCGCTCGCCCGCTGCGCGTAAACCCTCATAGTTTCGTTTCTGGCTACCCTCGATCCCGACTTCCACGGCGACACGATTGCACCTTTTCGCACGGCAAATTAACCTCGGACCGAATTCTCACGACGATTCCGACGACCGGCTGATCGAAATACGCGAACGGTAACCCGTCTCAATCGAGATTGGGAGTCGTAACAACTGGTATTGAACTCGGTCTCGCTTAGGAGGCAACTCTCTCGTCGCACTCCTCCCGCTGAAAAGTCACTCGCGCTCTCACTTACTGACGTCCCGGTAATCGCTATCTCTTTCATCGGCGCACACGACACAATAGGAAAAAAAAAATGCACTTCCTGTCACCCAAGATCCTATACTTATCGGCGCCAGATCGAGATCGCGGGGAATCACGGCTACTCGCGTCTAATCGAAGTGCGAGTTATCGAACGAGAAGATCGCGCGCGATAATCCGCGACTCCTCGTCCTATCCGTTTCAAGCGTCCCACCGCGACGTTCGCGACGTTTGCAAAACGTCGTCAGGGTAGGAGATGTCGGGCAGGACGGAGGATCCTCGTGCGCCAGCGTCGGGACAAGCTCAGGTTCCTCTTCTCAAGTCGTGCGCTCACGGACTGCGGGTTTCTCGGAAACGCGGCGAACGCACACCTCGCGTGCGGTGCCCCGGCGCCGTTTTCTCTATTTCTTTCTCGTGGCGTGGTCGGCAGGTTAATTTCGGAACGGCCCGGCGGAGTCGTGGGAAGAAGACGCGTCCCGCGAGAACCTGGGGGCCCCTTCCTCTCTTCCCGGGTCCTCACGTCGCGTCCGGCTCGCGACGCCCGAACGAGGGCGGCGGGAGGGGCAGCGCGTTCTCCCTTCCGTTCTCCAGCGCGACGTCCCGCCGACGTCGCGGGGAGGAAATCAGGGAGGAATCGGCGGGCGCGACGGCGCGTGTCGCCGCGGCGATGTTTATCGCCTCGACACTCGCTCGTGGCGCGATAGCGCGGCTATTTTTAGCGCCTGTTACGCGCGACGCACGCGTACGCGCAAAACGCACGAGCGCGCGGCCGCTTATCGCTCGCTCGCTTCTTTCGTCTCCTTTCCTCTTCCTCGCGCCTGGTCGCGCACCTCTTCCAACGTTTACGTCCAGGTACGCGGGGTCCTCGAGCACTCGCAACCTCGGCGGAGAGAAACACGCGCGCACACACACACTCACTCTCTCTCTCTCTCCCGCGGAAAACTTTATCCAAGCTCCGTCACGTCGCCGAATGCGGTCCGAAAAGACGGCGGGGTTTCGCTCGGGGTGACTTCTCCGCGAACGATTTACGAAATTCCGGCGAGTCCAGGTTCCGGTTCTCGCGGCCGAAAGCTACGGGCTCTCACTTGGATCACTCGCGCGCCTAATCTGAAGCGACGCTTCATCATCGTCCCCATCGCGAAGGCGCGAGAGCCTTCCGGAGTGTCCCCACTCGCGGCGGGGAGACACTTTTGACAGGTGGGATATCCGTGTCGCGATCCCCGCGATCCGGCGATCTGACACGGCGTTTTCTCACGTCCCGCGATCCCGGCCGCGCGAACGTGCGCGCGTGCGCGCGCGCGCGCAGGAAACGACGGCGGCGAGACGCGAGGAGGAGAGGAGAAGGCTTTATATACGCCGCTCGGCTCTCGGCAAAAGCAACGGTCAGCGCTAAATTTAGCTCGCGCTGGAAGCGATTACGCGAGCCTGGGAGCGAAGATGAGGTGAGACAAGGCGGGAGGGAAGGAGGGGAGAGACCGCGACGCGAGAGCGGAAAGGGGAGCGAGCGGGGAGAGGCGTAAAATCGCCCGCTCGGTAGACGGATCGCGACTGAACGGTCGCGACCGCGAGCGGCCCTGATAATTCCTCGTCATTCGCGAGACGGGAGGAGATGGTGCGGCGCGGCGTGGCGAGGCGCATCGGAGCGGGGAATCGCGGATGTTGGCCAATCGTCAAGTGACTCGCTCCTGCTCGCTCGTTGACGTGTTGTTCACTCGACTCGGGGGGGAAACCTGTCGCGAGCAGCGCGCAAATTGAGAACAAAATAGAAAAATTCTGTCAAGTGCACTCGTATTTGGCAACACGTTTGACTTTGCCGCCGAGCGTACGCGATCGGCGCGCGCGCGCGAGTGACGATGAACGAGAGAGGTTTTCATGGCAATTTCGAGCTTCCGTATTTTTTTGGGACTCGTCGGGACCCTCCATTCAGCCCTCGACTCGTGGAAGGCCTGTGTCCACGACGCTAGAACTTTGTCCAAGTTTCTAGCTTCGGGAAATGTGTGGCCAATCAACTTGCAGCTATACCGTACGAGCTGCGAGTTGATTGGCTACACATTTCTCGGAACGTGGACCCAATCATCGTGGACACAGGGCTTTTAGAAAACTTCCCAATTTCTTTCTCCCTTTTGTCTAAGCTATCTACTATACAGGGTGTTATGTAATACCCGCATCAACGCTTATTGTGGGATAGAGTGGACTAGACTAAGTCGAAAAGTCCTCTACCATTTTGCAATTTTCGCAAAAGTCAGCGAGTTATTAATTATTAAAAATCGCTGTCTTAGGCCGGCCCACTGCCCAATGTGCAACTCTCTGCGCGCCTAGTAACGATCGATCGATCTCGCCGCACGTTTGAATTGGGCAGTGGGCCGGCCTAAAACAGCGATTTTTAATAATTAATAACTCGCTGACTTTT